ACGACAACTCGTTCTTCTATCTCTACAGGTCCGAAACTCTCCTCGGTAGAGTTTCATAAACGAAGAGCTAAGTGCGCGCGAGAGAACCTCAATCGCTAATCTCAGATTACCCTAGGCTGCGGTGATAAACAGCGATTGCCCTTGTGAGGAAAGACGACGAAAACCACCTGAGATTGTTTTACCTTCTCTTCAAGCTTCCAATCAGTTTGTCCTCTCCAAGACTTTCCGAGCAACCACACGATATCTGCTCCTCGAAATCTAGTCCTATGCAATTCGGAGCAGCCGTCACTGCCATACCACTGTCGTTCTGGCTCTCCCAGCTCTCGAAGAGCCAAAACCCTAGTCCTAGCAGGTTTACTCCATTCCCGACTCCTGTCAAAAATCGGTGTGATTCCAATAGTCTGGGCTTGGTTCACAGTGATGTTACGATGTGCCTAACATTACTTTCACTTCCTGGCCATTGAGGTGGGTGTGCGGTTTACTTCCGATTCCTGCTTTTAAAGAAAGTCGAATAATTTCGAGCAATTCGAAACAAAGAAATCGCATTCAAATGATTCAAGTCGACATGCTGATTCTCTATCAAACCTGAGTGGCCTGCAGAGACTAGGCCCTTTCCTCTCTTCTCCAGCTTTCGATAACACCAACCCCTTGAGTCGGCCGTGTTGCACAGAAGCATCACCCGACAGCACCGCAGTCTAAAAACGCACGGGAAAAAAAACCTCCGCAAACACAACCCCCCGAAGAAGATTCTACTCGCGAGTTTGTCCTTCCTTCCTTCCCCCTTTAAAACCTGACTTTGCACACCCATCAAAACTTCGTTTGAAATCCTGACATTCAAACTGAGCGTGACAGTACGTCACAAACACGAGAAATCTCCGAACCTCTGACTCCAACTCCCACTGAGAAATTCACCAAAAAAAAACCCAAAAACTATAACCCAAAAATTGTAAACTGTAAGATTTCAGAAAACTTCAGTTTTTCGAGTGAAATACACGGGAGATTACCCACTGGAATTCCCGTCGGTCGATTACCCTACTGGCAACAAACCGTCACCGTCACAAACATGGGTCAAGCCCAAGCCACTCCACACTCGGAGAATCCAGGTCGACGCAAAGGGGAAAGTCGCTCTACACTCCCAACGCTTCCAGGCTCGACTCGAAAAACTAACGTTCTTCGAGCCGTCCCCAACTGTATACCCCTCGTAACCCGAACCCTATCTCCGCGTCTAAATATAGTAAGTGCCCAGACTACGTGAGCCAACTCAAAACTACATGACAAATCTAACCTTCTTATATACTTGATTCTACAATTTTTGTATTCACAACATTTGATGTGTGTGTTCTCAATATGTAGATAAAAGTCATAAAAATTACATCTTTGCATACACATTTTTAACCTTCAATAGTCATACAAATTATGATAACTATATAAATCAAGAACCATTTTCTTTCAAAAAAGTTTACCAAAACCAAGACTATTATATTGGGATATCCTTGCTTGTAATCTAGAGATAAAGTGATAACTAATTATTAAAATTTGATTACATTTCTTACCTTTTGACATGGCAAACTCAATGTTGTTACATTAGCAATTAACAAAGAATCTCATTCTACATTTGAACATAGATTTTGAAGATGAGAGAAATTAAAAACAACTTTTTTATATCACCCGCTGGCAGCTATTCTCGGACATATTTAAATTGTTTACGTGTTAAGCACACGAATAGTTGATATAAAAATTATATATATTTAACTAGATGCTAACTCTATCTCCACATTGAATTATCTCTATTTTAGTTTCAAGTAATTAGAGATGTTTGAAATTAAGTGCTAGTTGATTCATGAAATCAAAAATAATTAATTAATTTTTGATGTGATGATAAAATTATTGATTTTTTTTCAATGCATGTATTTTGAGCCTAAAATTATTGGTATAAATATATGTATTGTCAATTTTCTTCTTCAAAGTAAAAAATTAGACTTTGATAATTGTATATATATGATATATATTGATCCATCAATTCTTCTACATAGATATAGTATTCTTGTGCTACCTATACAAGATAATACTTCATAGTGAATTACTATAAAATTGTAAAAAATTATTTCACAAATAGTATTTTTATTTGCAATCAAAAGTACTTAAAAAATCAAACACAACTTGTTGTAAAGTAATCTTCTGATATTTCATCATTGATTATTGAATATTAAAAATGAATTATCTTAGTTCAATCTTACATTATCATGAATCAAGAAAATAGTTCACACGAGTATGAAATACAATTCTCAAAATGAAAAATCTTGATATGACTTTTCTATATATTTTCCACAATTATAAGAAGATAAAATTTTATCTCATCATTCATTATATTATTAGTGGATTGATTACATGATAATGATATCTTACAAGCACCTTAATTGAGTACTATAGATTGTTCATTGTAATGTAACTTAATTTTCAACTAGAATAACCTCTACTTAAGTTCTTAACAACTAACTAACTAAAAATGATTACAAATCAACCTTGTTACTAAACAAGATTAACATTTAGGATGATGGTGCAATCATTTTGATACTATTTGTGGCATGAGAATTCAAATGCATTTGTCAAACACATTCACATATCAACACCAAAAAAATACACGCGCAAATACATATGATGTAGGAACTACATTGCACGCTGCGTACATACAATCATTAATACGGTCATAATCTGATAATTTTTATTATATAATCATTATCTAATCAACTTCATTAGTTGAATTTCAACAAACCTTAATCAATGTATGACCAAAGTTAAGTTCTAATGATTTGTAAATGACACATGTAATCAAAATATTTTTATAATTTAAAGTAATATGTTTATATCTCAATTTATAATTATTTTAAAATTAAAAAATTTATGTTGATGTTATTATATAATTATATATGTCAATTTGATTAATTTTTGAATCGTTATTATATCTTATTAAAATTTGTATGTGTTATTTGATTCATCATATCTCAGTCTTGTAAATGCTAATTTTAGATGCAAATTTGTCTTCTTAAACATGTGAAATTCAATTATTTCTGAATTTAACATTTTATTATATTTCATCTATGCAATTTATCAATTACAATTAATGAATTAGTTTTTCTTAGCAATATATTTATATCTTAAGTAATAATATAACACTATACTTTCATGAATCATGATGTGTTACACACTAAATAAACAATGTCACCTTTTAAAAGATGATCAAATAATTAAGAATCTTTTCAAACTTTGACTATCTATCAAATTTTAAAAATATCTACAAATTCACAATTGCATGTTTGATGATTTTGGAAATGCATTAAAAGATATGAAGATAAAACTTTTCTCTTAATTGATGATAAATACAATGACTTAAATTTTTTATTATGAAAATAACTTCAAACTATAATACAAAAACTTCATATCATATGATTATGGTGTTTATTTTGGAAAAAAGTATTTTATTATAATGAATAATTTTAAAATATATTTGTTAGATAGAATATTCATATTATTTACGTAGGTATATCAACAATTTTATTTGAAACATTAAAAATTTTGCTAGGTTATAAGATACTTAGTATTTCCTTTGATTGAATATAATGAATAAAATAAAAAATAAAGAATTGGAATATTTAAAATGTATGTAATGTATGTTGAAATGTAATAAACTATCATGTCATGTTTAAAATATTTGATTCGACAAAAAATTTATAGCAATTATACATATGGATAACATAAAATGATGGAAATTGAGATCATCTATCTGTATTTTAATGTTTAAAATATTATACTCATTTTCATTAAATTTTAAAGTATATGTGAAAAAATGCTGTTGATTTACCTTATTATTATTATGTACAAATATGTCAATCTTAATTTAATGTTATAACTAAATAATTTCATTAAAATATATTTTGAGATTCCCTCTCCATTTTATTTGCATATTGGATATATTGACTTAGTGCTAAACTTCATCAAATACATGATTTAAAGTAACAAGCACAAATAAATCCGATTATATGCATAGAAAAAAGGTTTTCCTTATCTAAAACGTAATAAGTATGAGATAATTTGTGGTATGTTTGGAACATTTATAAATTTCTGAATAAATTTTGGATAGAAAATATGGCAGAAATTTAGAACTATAATATCAATCAAATTATAGTTTACAGTACTCAATATTGATAAAGAAAAAAATTGATAAAATCTCAGTCCATCAAATGTTTTGGAATACTATAAAAAGTAAAGAGAATCTCAACTCTTGTCGTTACGTTATATCTTGTTATATATCAATCTAGTTTAAACATGCCATATTTTCATCTAATTAGCTACGTAACATGGGCATCCTGCATAGATGTACGACACTTCATGTGAGGAGGTTATTCTAGCTAAAAGATATGCTAGATGATTTTAATAATATCAGTTGAAAATGATATGTACATTTTTTTTTAACCTTTTGAATTACATATCTTTGTATTAACCAACATATTGTACATAAAATTATGGACAACTTTGTATGCTTTAGTTTCTTACTTGATATTTCCAAATCCACGAATTATGTATATTCAGAAGCTCTCAATTTGTGAGTCTCCAACAACAACAACCATACAATGAGAAACATTAAAGCGTGTTTTGGTCTTATATGAAGTAGTATATATTGTGATCATTTCAGAACTAAAGCAATATACAATAAGAATGATGTCAACTAGATTCTGAATTTTGTGGATATTTCAGGAGATTTCCATAGTGTTACTAAGCCATAAAACATCATGCTTTTTTCAAACATCAATGCCATCACAATTCACTTATTTATTAATTTACTAAAGAAATACATCGTTTCCAATTTAATGACTTTAAAAAAAAAATCGGAGTATTTTGATTTTCGTGGTACTATCGACGTTCATTATACTGCAAGACAAAGTGATATGTGGACCCCGCCGCGAGTATCTGCTCAGGAGTTTGTTCGAACTCCTGCCCAAGAGCAGTTTCCGAAGACCTAATTGACAGAGTCGATTACATTGAATTTGTGGATGATTTGATCGATCAGAAAAGCCTACCTGTGCAGGAATCAGAGCAAATTGACGATCGGTCGGTGAGGCTGATGGCGACGATTGTGAAGCAGCTGCGGGCTAAAGCGGTGCAAGCTACTCTGTTATTACAGAAGCATGGCTGTGTGTACGATACCCAGCTGAACATGGGTTACATTGCCAGTGATCGGCATGCGGGGAATATATGGTCAAGCACTCGCTTTTCCAGGTTTTCATCCTCTCTTGCTCTTGATCTTCTTATTTCCACTCTCGTCTGCCTCGATCTGTCCTATCGTCTCTTAAGGTATTGCCGTCAAAGGAGAATTGTGAACCTGAGATTAGATCCGTCGTGATAAATCGCATTCGTTTCATCGTTCCGGGATTATCGGGCAGGGTATATCGAGAGCATTCCAAGATATTACTTCTTTAACTTCCTTATCACACATCGCGGGCGTTGCTAGTCGTATACTCTTCGTTGTATTGTCCCCGATAGAGCATACAACCACCAGCTAATTAGTGAATGTCTTCCAGAAGGAGAAATGTTATTTGATGGTTTGCAATCATGGCCACGAGCGGTTTTGGTCTCTGGCTACTCTTACACACATGTGCAGAAATTTTTCATCTCAGGCTGCATTTGTTGAGGGAGACGACAGACCACCTAGTCTTCGCAAGCAAGCTTCTCTAAAGGAGGACGTCATTTTACGTGCGTTTCCTAGAAAAAATACTGGAAAAATCTGGTGCAAGAAGGAGCGAAAAGTTGGTTTAGTGCCAAGTATTGTTTTTGAGCAGGAGAATGGGCATCTTGGTGGCAACAAGGAGCTAATTTCGGTTGAGAAGAAGCAGCTGGAAAACATTGTCAACAAAATTGGACAAACCTTCTTTTTGTCTAGGACATACGATTTGGAAATATATGACAAACCTGGAGGAGAACTTCAAAAGAAGGAAAAAGTTTTACCTCGGACGGTATGCCCCATATTTGTGCATGAGTTTTATGTGAAAACGATCCTGTAGATTTTCTCTTGCCATAAATTGAATAGTTTCTGGTATCTCAAAAAACCTGCTATCAGATCGCAGAGACATTATGTTTCTATGCTGTCTATTTTGTTTTCTTATCAGGATTTAAGCAAGTATGGAACGAGTCCCGTTGGTCTGCGCTGAAGTGTCCGTAAAGAAAGTTCGTTCTATCAAGCAGAAAGAATCACAGATTTGACAATCAACTGATGATGTATGCTGATGTCAAAGTGGATTTAGCTTGCAGTTCACTACGTATTATCTTCAGAGATGTGGTGTACTAGGTCAAGCCCGTTCAAATGAGAAAAAGTCCAGCTGGTAAAACTTCTATCGCTCCGTTGCTCTGCCAACTCGATCTATATCACATGACTAGCGTTGGACTGCAGATTCATTTGCATTCGGCCAGTGATGAACTTCTCAACGTCACATTCATCAGAGCCCCTCCATCCGCTAAGCTGAAGGTGGGAATCCCTCTGGTATTTATCGGCGAAGACTCCTGCCCAGGCATCAGGAAAGGTAATTGTATTCTTGGATGATGTTGCTGTCGAATCTTTGTGATTTTTTGCGGATACCCCAACGTTACATTTCAATGTTGAGGTTTGTTCAACAGATGGCTAGATGAAAGAATGTAATTATGGTCATATTTGGTTGTCCATGCTAGTACTGCTGTGTGCGTGAGGAAATTTGCTCAATCATAGAAGAAGAATTAGTCATTGATTGTCGTCCATTCTTCTCTTGTAAATGTGCTTCTATCATTTCTGAGCGATTTCTACATCGCATCAAACATCGTTTGCGTTATTGAAGTGAATTGGCTCTTCGGTGCAGGTGGTTATGTCAACACAATGAAGAGAGTTGTTCCTTTCGTTTGTCCTGCGGATGCAATACCACCTTTTTTGGAGGTAGACTTGAGCACTTTGGATGTTGGTCACAAAATTCTTTTAAGAGACCTGAAGGTGGATCCACGGTTGCAGTTGTGCCACACAGATAGTTCCTTACCTATTTTGAAAATCATGGGCACGCGCTCAATGGAAGAAGCCGCAGTTCCTGCGAAGTGACTGTACACTGTATTTAGATGGGAGCTTCAGTGCTTATACTCCGGATTTAGTTGCTCACTACTAGATCAGTGGGTTTTAGAATTTGAGTTGCTATGCTCTAGTTTAAAGGAATTAGTCTTCATGATCAAGTTTCATTCGTCTGATTTTGACATTGTGTATGACTCTCTTGATGGTCGTCCTTGTGTGATACTTCAGAAGTCCTTTTCAAGAAACGATGATTTTTCAAGAGTGTTTACCATCTGTTTGTTGATAGAATGTAGACAACAGAGATTGCGTCCTTTTCGATCCTCATCCCTGGGTAAATGTCTCTCAGAGTTTGCAATATGAGTTTTCACTCCAGGGGTCACTAATGACATTGGCTTCAGGTTTTTGTTATCGGACATCATATTATGATATACATTGTAGGGTTAGGGGTAGTATGGTAGGGCTAGGGACGCTACTAATCGCTAGGTGACTTCTCAGTTTGATTGATGGTGCAGTGTGCTGAGCGTTTCCAGGCATCTCCGGTAGCTTGTGCAGTCAAGAAATTAGTGTTCTTTGATGTCTCCGTCTGTTCTGTTGGATTGTGATTCAAGGGTCAGTTGTGTTTCATCTTGCTCTTTATATTGTCATAGGATGCTCATTTGCAAGTTTTACTTTTTGATTGGACTTAGATTGATCCGAACAATTGATTAGAGCCGATCGAAATTTGTTGATCGTTGGTATTAGATATGGGAATTGTATTTTTTGCAATTGTGTTACGTTGACTAGGTTGTATGTCGGAGTCAAATTATATGCTTTGACTAGGTTGCATATCGGAGTGAAAATATATGCTTTGAGTAATCCTATCTGTTCATCGTAGTGGAGTAGTTGTAGGGCAAGGATTGAATATTTAGGTAAAGATAATCAGGTTTGTATGAGAAAATGGTACATTTTTAATCCACTAAGCTGTGTGTCCCTTCATATATTATGTTCGAAATGCTTATAATAATTATGATTTCAAGGCAAGATAATATGGATTTGTATTGGAATACAAAAACAAATCCATAAACATGTACAGATATATATTTGGTATATCTTTTTAGTGTTATTACTCGAAGACAAGGTAAAATGATGTGGCAATCTAAGGCAGATGATGTAAAAGGTCATTTAGTTCCGTGAGTGGTGTAATGTGTGGCATACATGATGAAGACTTGTTTTCAAAAAAGTTGGTACTTGTTCGTGTTGGTCCGGTTATGTTTTCTAATATCATGCACCGAAAGTTAAACTGTATCAATGATATTTCCAATGTATATGATGCATTACACCTGGAGCAGATGTAAGTTTGTAAGAGCTACAAAAAGTTGTTGTGATGGAATCAATTGGCCAAGTGAACCGTTGGAATGCATTTTAATCTCAAATCCACAAGTCACGAGAAACGTTTGTTGTCGAATCACATCAAAGGTCTCCTTCATTTTAGAAGTAATGTATGAATCATTCGGCACTACAGTTTTACATCTAGAAGTAATAGTAATGTTTTATATACTACGACCACAGTATGGACACAATATTCTCGATATGATATCTACCAAGTTAACACCTGGAAGGCTGACTCTATTTTAATCCAATACATGCGTGAGTATATTCTTCCGATGAATACACCAAGAACGTGTAAAACCATGATGCATGAGATGTTAAGTTGATTCTGTGCACAGAGTTTGACTGAACAACCTTACGATTCCATTCTGAAGTCAACAATGTTTCTAAAAGTACAAAGCAAAACATACCCAAAACGTCCTAAACTCCACTTAGGAATCAAATCTTACTACCCTAGGGTCTTCTGTACTGTCACTTTAAATTGAAGACTAAACGATCTCTAAGCAGCAAGCTTCCAACTATGCTCCAGTAATAACTTCATAACCTCAGAAAATCATAAAATATTCTGTTCTATTACTAATGATTTTATTTAAATTTAGGTCAAATATAGCTACTTGCAAATTGTTCTTTTCTTTTTCGAAAGTCTCATAGATTGAGACAGAAAATCCCCATCATTCAACTTATCATACAAAACAGTTATTTAAAACGACCAGATTCAACTAAGTCACAAAAACATGCAACAAGCAAATATTATTTTATTTAGCAATTGAAAAAAATTATATTTTAATGAATTTTTTTAATAGAATTTTTGTCATAATTCAAATTATTAAAAACTTTCATAAAGATATATAGATCAAACAAGGTTATTAAGAAATGCAAAAAGCAAATGATATCATAGTTAGCAATAAAAAAGTGTTTTTGTTTTGAGTTTAACTGTGGTTAAGTAGTTACCTCAAGCATAGCTATTTATAGCTAAGATTGTTCGCCTAGGTATATATACCCTGATGCTAATAATCTTTATTGTAATCAATCTGTTCTATACATCTACTTGCTACTACTATTCCGTTGTTGTATCTAGTGATACTCAAGTGTTCATTAGAGATTTGAAGACAATTGTACATCTTTATTTTGGAATGGTTTCTGTATTAGTAGTGATTGATAATGCATATATCAATCACTAACACATTAGTCTTTATATTATTGTGTCATTAAGTATATTTTAACGATTAGTATAGTCTCAAGAATGAGACTATATAATTCAAGAAGAATGATTATATAATTCACCAACGCCTAATGTTAATAAAAGGTTTTGGTAGATTCACTTTAACCAAGAATTAGAAAAAATATTTACTATTTTCAACATAATCTTCTGTCGATATTTAGTAAATTCTCTCAAGTATATTATTCCGTGGATGTAGCTCTTGAGTGTGAACCACGTTATACGTGTCTATCTCGTGTTGTTGACATGTTCACTTTGATTTCGAGTTTTATGGTTAGAATTGGTATCAGAGTCAGTTCCAAGTCAAAATCTATAGTCACTAAATTGTTTTAGATTATATGTTGACAATTTTTTCAAATGACAAGTTCCGTTGTTGGTTTTCTGTGACAGACATTTGTGACTCCGGGGTTTCTATGACAGACATTTGTGACTCTGATTTTCTGAGTTCATGAAACGACTAATTTGATTTTCTAACAGATTACATTCGTTTTGAGAGTTTTATGACTATGGCAGTTTGTTTACGGTTTTCTGAATAAATGACATTTTTGTATGGTGTTTGTGATAGAAATGTGACAATGACAAATATGTGATGGTGATAGACATGTGATGAAGACAAATTTGAGACGAACTAATAGTTTCCTTCACATTACAATTTTCTCATTGTTTTTTGATTTTGTTTCTCTTTTCTCTCTCTCCAAGTTCTCTCGTTGTACTCGCGGGCAAGATCGACATGGGTGGAAGATGTAAGTGTAACAAGCAGATATGAAAAAAATTTGAGGTTGAGTTTTTTTAGTTTACATAGAAACACGTCGAATTCCAATTCGATACGAGGTTCGAGTGTTTGAGTGTTCGAGATGACGAGAAAAAATTGATGTTCAAGATGCTATTTCTGACTTCGAGGTGGTGACAGTTTGATAGTTCGGAAAAACGTGATTTGATTGAGGAATCGATTCTCTACTGCGTTGTTGCAAAGCAGAGAACTCAAAAGGAAGAAATCAACTCAGAAGCTGCTATTGTCTCTACTTTTTGACGTGGAAAGTCGATAGGGCAACATTTTGGTGGCAATTTTGAGTATAACATAATAACTTTCAATGATCAAGATGATTATTTGCTTTGGAAATAGCAAGTAAAAGTGAAGTTTCAATACATGGATCTCACACTATACTTGGGAGAAATATCTTCTAACATAAATGAGATTGAATGTAGTGCTGCTCAAGACAAGGCAATTTGCACGGTATTGGCATATTTGGGTCCTGCCATATTCAAGCAGGTTGAGTAATACTCTACAGTGTCAAAGTTGTTTGATGCGCTTTAGCAACAATTCCATTAGAAGAATTTGTCAAATATCATGAACACTTACATGAAATTGCTACAATTCACTATAAAACCAAGCACGAGATCTAAGACCATATTCATATATTTGGAAATCTATTGATAGATCTTTGAAATATGGAGAAGTAACTTTCTTACACAAAGAAGTCAATGCATATTCTTCACTCATTGCCGTCTACCTATCAGACAATATCAAAGATTCTTCTTCATCGTCAGAACACAACACTCACTTACAACGAGGTTTTAAGTGCCATTTTGACGTATGCGGTGGAGTATAATTTGTTATTTCACTTCATCCACTTCATTTCTGGAATAACACTTATTATGATCTGAGGTCAATCACAACCGAGATATATCAACTATTGAAGAGGAAGAGATCAAGATCTCATGAATGAAAGATAGTTCAGTTTATGTCTCAGCCATTTGACAAAAATAATGTTATTTGTTAGAGATGTGGTAAGAAATGTCACATCATGAAGTTTTGTCAGATGACAAGTACGGCATCCCCTTTAGTGACAAACGTTGCTAAGCATCTTGATACTGAGGCGAACGATTTCTACACAAACAATCTATGATGCTAGAGGTATGATCTCGGCAGTTCATCAAAAGTTATTGATGATGTATGAATCTAGGTTGTGCTTCTTTTTATCACATTTATTACATAAGAGAGTTCTTTTGTACTTTTTCCATATCAAACGATTGAGTTTTATTGTCAAACGACAAACCTTATAGAATTGAGGGTGTTGGATCTATAAAGATTCGCATGTTTGATGATGTAACCGTATTTTGACTCATGTTAGATCTATATCTAACATGAGAAAGATCTTGATCTCTCTTGGAGTGTTGGACTCACAAGACTTAGATTGGAGTTCTAGGCAGGTTGTGTTAGAGGTCATATCATGTGATAAGAAGGTTATTCTTTGGGAATACAAGCACAATAATATGTACTTGTTAGAACTCATCACTATTTGTGAAGAAGTTCACTTTATCACATTTTGTGTTGAGATGTCTCATGTATGGCATTCCAGATTAGGTCATATGAGTGATCGGTACATATCTCTTCTTGATGAGAAAAAAATGTTACTGAGTTAGGGTAAACTTGTGAACATTGCATCATGTAAATACAACATACGCGAGCTTTTAGCGTTAGAACTCATAGTTCCACGGAGATACTAGAGTATGTATATAGTGACGTGTGGGGATACTCTCATATTGCTTCAATGTGTAGAAAGCTATGTTATGTCTCTTTTATAGATGATTACTCCAGGTATGTGTGGACGTATTTTTTTACCCACAAGTCCGAGTTGTTTTCAACTTTCAAAAGTTGGCGCATACAAGTTGAGACTCAAACTGAACACAAGGTTGGTGATTGCTGAAATCACTGTATGGACTGAAGCAAGCTTCTAGGTAGTGGAATACACGATTTGATGAGTTCATGAAGACAGAAGATTTTATACGAAGCGTGTATGCTTCTTGTGTATACATGAAAGAGTTGAATGATGAGACGTTGAATCTCATCATTTTAGTTCTCTACGTTGACGACATGCTCAAATTAACAAAGAACCAATCTGATGTTGATGAATGCAAGAGTCAGCTAAAGTTTGCATTTAAGATGAAGTATATGGAATATTTGAAGAGTATATTAGATATGGATATTTATAGGAATTTTGAACAAAAGAAGCTATAGTTGAATTAGGGCAAGTATGTTTGCCGTATACTTCATCGGGGGTTTAGGGTTTAGGTTCAACATGGTCAATTCAAAAGTAGTATGGACTTCTCTGCCAACACATTTTAAACTCTCCGCAGCTCAATGTACTACAGATGCTGTGGAGAAAGAAGAAATGTCATGTGTTCTCTATGAACAAGCTGCAGGCAGCCTCATGTATTAAATGATGTGCACTTGACCTGATATTGCTCTGACAATTGGGAAGATGAGTAGGTACATGTCAAATCAAGGAAAAGTTCATTGGGAAGGAGTGAAATGGACTTTGAAATATCTGAAGAGTACTATGGATTATGGCTTATTGTTTGATGGATTATTAGACAATGCCAAGTACTTATTTGGCTACGTTGATGCTGATTATGGATAAGATTTAGACAAAATTGGATCTACAAGTGGGATACGTGTTTACATTTGGCGATGAAAGCATTAGTTGGAAATCTATCTTGCAGAAGTACGTAGCTCAATCAACAACGGAAGCTTAGTTAGTGGCAACAGCAGAAGGGGCAAAGAAAGCTATTTGGTTGGATAGACTTATTATAAAGATGGGATTGACACAAGGCGTGATTAATTTACATTGTGATAGACATAGTGATTTACATTTGATTGCAAACCAAGTTATGGATAGCAAAGTGAAGCACATTGACATAAGATATCACTTTATTAGACAAGCAATGTTTGAATAATTGAGCGGTAAACAATTGAGCGGTCAAGATAAACAGTAAACTCAATCCAGTTGATGCGTTGACTAAAGTTACTCCTTTGAAAAGTTTTGAGCGATATTATGCATAGGAAATACAAAAGATATGATGTTTAGTTATCTCTATATATTAATACTCTATCCTATTATGGCTACGACTTACTTATGATTAACTCTTGTTTAAAGAGTAGCCTTGTGTTAGATTTTTGTCTAGAACTCTCAGCAAAGTAATAATATAGGTTAGAGAGGTTATTGAGAATCTCTAACATGAATTAAGGAGTAGATTGTTAAGTTACATCTGTATGTTAATACTCTATTTTGTTATGGTAGTAATAACATAGATTAGAGAGGTTATTGAGAATCTCTAACATGAGTTAAGGAGTAGATTGTTGAATTACCTCTGTATGTCAATACTTTATTTTGTTATGGTAGTAATAACATAGGTTAGAGAGGTTATTGAGAATCTCTAACATGAGTTAAGGAGTAGATTGTTGAATTAACTTTGTATATTATTATTCTATTTTGTAATGGGAGTAATAATATAGGTTAAAGAGGTTACTGAGATTCTCTAACATGAGTTAAAGAGTAGATTGTTGAGTTAATTTTGTAGATTATTACTCTATCATGTTATGAAAATAATAATATAGATAAAAGAGTTTAATAAGATTCTTTAACATGAATTGAAGTAAAGATTGTTGAGTTACCTCTGTATATTATTACTCTATCCTGTTATGATTACGATTTAAATCTAGTTAACTTTTGTTTAAAAAGGGGTATTGTCTTAGATTTTCGTCAAGGGCTTCCCTCTAAGTGATAATATAGGTTAGAGAGTTTACTGAGACTCCTCACCGTGAATTAAGGTAAAAATTATTGAGGTTAACTCCGGTTAAGTAAACTCATGTGTAGTTATTTATAGTTGAGATTGGTCGTATGGGTATATATACTCTGATGCTTATGCGGGTATTGTTATGTTTTCACTTGAAATAATAAACTTTCTCGAGTGTATTCATATGGAGACATACTCCTTGAGGGTGAATCATGTTATACGTGTAACTCTCATGTTGTTGGCTCGCTCATTATGATCTAAAGTTTCACCGTTAGATATATTATGATTATTATTTTTGAAAATTATTTTTTTGTATAAACTTCGTCAATTTAAATATAAATTTTTTTCAATTTCATTTATAATGATGAATTTTCAATTATAAATCAGAATTTGTTTATCAATTGTTCAACTCTTGGACGTGTCATCGATAATCATCAAATACTCTAATTTTTATAAATCATATAACTTCATTTCAAAACAGATATCATCAAGATTGTACTATGTAAAATCAAGTTTCATTCATCAAGTTTTATAACATATACTTATAATATAAGTATTCAAAATCTAAAATCAATATTGTCATGCAATGCAAAAGGCATATCATTGTTGTCATTTACTATATTTTCCATTAAGCAAATACTACTCATGTATTTTTTCTTGTTCTTAGTTACATCTTTCAAAAAAATTCAACTCTTGTGTCATAACAAGAGTTGAAATTTTTGCCACAGTTACAACTTTGCATAGTAGTTTTTACCTTGATATTTTTTGTGGATCTAGATCTGATATCAGCTCTCTGATTCACACCAATTGTACATATGACTCTCAAGATTCACATTCAGCATATTATTCAATTGTTTGATTATATGTGCCACCAGGTCGTGAGGCGTTCCGAGGAGATGTGATTATAATTTTAACATTATTGCGTTTAAGCTTGTATTTTAATTAATCTCTCACATCAAATCATTATTTGATTCAAATATTTTTTCATAAGTGTTAGTACTGAAATTTTTTAAGTTGATGTTTTTACAAGAATAATCGAAATGGTCAGATTAATTTTTCGTATTATTTTTGACAACTCTAGTTTTCAGAATTTCATCTTATCTTGCATGATTATTTTAGCTTATATGAAATTATATTTTAATTTACGTTAGAACGTACAACCCCTAATTGACACAAAATCTCAAATAAAAATACATCACACTGTTTTCTAATGATTTTATAATATTTTTTATTCAAATCTAGCTTAATTTGTAAAAAATGAAATTCCTTTCAAATCAGAATTTATATATAAAGCCTTAAAATAGCTTTCTGATCAGATTCAAATATATATAAACTTAAACAAAATTAATGCCAGTTGCATTGGAAACTTTTCATCCTGGCTCACTTGTCTTCATGATTGAAGCAAACATATTTTTCTCAAAACACTTCTATTATAAATGTATTGACGGATCTATAAAGGATCATTTCAACAATTAATTTACTCATAGCAAATTGATTAAGTAAACCAACCTTTAATTCCTTGAAAATAAGAGATCTTGATTTGAATTTAATTTGCTTATTCGATATGAAATCTAGTTTAGCACAATCTTCAACAATAACGAGACAAAAAAGTCCTAGAAACAAACATTTTTATGAATTTTGACTTGTTATAGCTTTCATCTCTGTTTTACCTGTCAAAAATAGAGGTCATTTACTTCATGCTTGCAACATGAAAACATGAATTTTCATATGTTAATCTAGTTCCGTCTTTAAGCAGGCTGATGACTATTGCGAGTCACAAGACCTGCAAGTTGTGAATGTAAAAAGTATCGTTGATGAATACAAATTATAAACAGTAGGTAAAAATTCATATTACAAAGGATTAAAATATATTGAAATTAGCAAAGGATTTTTACAAAGTTAAAAACACGTTTTGAGAAAACTTCAAATGTTTGAATTTTGCCTTCGATGAATTGCAGATTTAAAAATTATACGATAAAGTAAAAAGACAGTGAGGGAATGATTAAGTTTTTGCGTATTTAAAAAGTGGATAAAGAAATCTTCTAGATTATTTATGTTTAGCTTTTATTGATAAAAATATTAAGTGAATTTTCTGGATAATTTGACTTCTTTGTTTGATTACATTCTAAAAAAATACATAATTGATGTTTTTATTAGTGTAAAATATGAATGTTAAGGAAATCTATGCATTTTAAAGAAATTGAAAATAAGGAGTAAAATTGTTTGGAATTATTTCTATGAAATCTGCCAAGTTTGGTACGTCGTGGGTGAGAATTAAACCTGAAGTTAAAATTACAAATTCGTCTTTTTGTCATATGAAATGTCAACCAGATTCTATGTACAACAACATGAAATTAACATGTCTTATCCAGAAGACCCAAATTATTTGAAGAACAAAATGTGAACGTTTAGAATACAAAAGAGGGCTGATCAAGTAACAAGCTCCATGGAGTTTTTACGAGCTTTGTAAAAAAATAATATATTTATACATAATATTATATATATATATATATATATGATAATATTATGAGCGATGAAAAGAGGCAGAAATTATATATAATAGCTTTGATTGGCAAGCGGTATGTCCATTGATAAAAAATTTGACACATTGTGCCCTTTACTTTCCAAGTAGATTATATTTTCATACAAGAAGCTAATCGTGCATATTCGTTTGTTATTGTGAAACCTTACTATCCAACAAATTGAGATCATGAATGTCGACCGAAATTCATGATAAATTGCATGAATTGGATGACGAGGGTAAGAATGAATGTGGAAAACTTATCAACAAAAGCAAGCCATAATTCCAGTTGTATAGTCAATGTTCTAATACAAGCTGAATGCGCAGAGGATGCTCTAACAGTTAAGGGTGAATGTACACACACACAGTACTCGCTTTGAGTTCATCAAGAAAGTTGCCATGACTCTGAAATTTATTTCAACTTGACTTGTAACGAACAATTTCCAAATTCATATATGAAAATCATGAGATAAAGGCGTACCATCACATCCCACAGAAGGCACAGACTATCAACATACTTCCGTATTAGATTGTGCCCTTCTTTTCTAGAATGTTGTCCAACGAACTTCCCCATCTATGTGGAAGTCTTACAGCATTCACCAATTTGTAGCAAATATCTTCCTCAAAAAGACATCTCCAAAAGTTGGATGACCATTTGTTCCTTCTCAGCTGTTGAAGTGAAACACCTCAACTGCGATAAATTTGCATTTTTGTGATCTCGACGTGATGGACCTCCGTGGTGACCCTGCACGTTAAAGGGCGGACAGACGAACTTCTTCGATATAGCGATCACTTATAAGAGGATTCCTCCTACCATTCTTCCGAGCCAATTTGAGCAATATTTTACAAGACGTAGCTTCGCAACGAGTTGCAAGATTCCACAAAGACCACGATTCTACAATTTACCGTCAATTCTGTGTATTTATGACAAACATTCTTTCTAAGGTACCTCAGCGCTACATAAAGGTACACACACCTACACTCATCCCTACGATGAAAACGTTGGTAAACGTCCGTGTTAAGGACTCAGATATTACTTCTAAATTTGTTAGGTACTATTTCTAGCTGATACACATATGTGTGGTACTGCACCTATCTAAGGAACTACGAACTGCTACAAACTAAATACACTGATGGGGGTTTTGGAGGCATAAACCCTCTTCAAAGCTACCAATCATGCAAAGCCGCCATCAAAAAGTCTGGGGTCAATGCATACTAAACACATCACTTGAATTGGCCTCATGAACTAACGTGCATCAATATAATGCATCAAATCTTTCGTCGTTTGTCAGATAATCAAAACAAGTCAAAACCCAAGAACACTTAGCGTTCCTAGATTTATTGTGCTCTGAAGGTTCTGAACCAAGGATGGATCTCAACTGCCCCTGAATTGTACATCAAAAGCACCATTAGCGCTGTTTGAACCATTTGGGTTTGCTTCCCGTAGAACGTTTGGCTTCTTGCTTGGGCACTACCGACTCCGAAGATTCAGAAACTGCATCTGTTACTCCACTTTGCGACGTTGGTTCCTGCTGTGTGACGTAGTGTTCGAGAAGATGAAGATCTCGTAGCGCTGCAATTTCAGGCCTGAGATACGGTCCATCCATATCTGCATTGATAGGTAATTCCGTGTAAGGTACTTCGCTTCGCAATATAAAGAAAATTTACGCACCAGCGCAACATCGAAGGAAAAGGACGAAGTGTTGTTAAAATCTGTCCTCCACAAGATTAGAGCTTCAATACTTACCTCTCGGTGATTCATAAGAAAAATACACAAGAGCGCCAGGGGCTAGCCCCGCCTCGTACATGCTTTGCTGTAGATTCTTTAACCGCTGCTTAGGTGGCGCTGTATCTGCATAACTCCGATCAATTATCGTCATGTTGATGGAAATTGCCATGAGTACTCTGACGCTACAACATTAGCTGCTAAAACAATATACTCCATGGACATGATAATGGATCAGGAAGATGAAGAACTTGGAATCAACTTAGACCACCCGAAACGACCTCTTTGAAGCTTTCAAGCAACAATATTCAACCAATTTGCTGACGCAGTTAGACGCGACTGAAAGTTACTCACAAATGTAGAAAGTTTCATTCGGAAGCATAACAACTTTCCGTAGGAGATCTATCAGCAAACTGATGGGATCTGATGGATGGAATGTTGCCTCAAGCACGAAATTGTCTGGGAACTGAACTCGCACGACCGCCTGCATAGAAGATTCTCAATCAATTTTCATGTCAAATGGACGGAAAAGTTGTTCCACAAAGGAAGGAACACTGACAGCAGAGGTGATTTCAACAACAGAAAAGATCCTGACTAGTAATCCATCGAACCAAAATCTCCATATTTCAAGGGTGACGGTCACTCACTTCCCATCTATGTATATTGTGCATTGAATGACATGAATGGCAGACCGGAATAGATCAATGCTCATAATAGATGAAGTTTTACTGACCTTAGTGATGCGAGCCCTCCTCGCTGCCTCCTCGGCATCGCGAATTTTTTTTGTTTTCAAGAAGACTTCTGCTCGCAAAGAGAAGTTATTCCGGCGTCAGCTACAAACAATGATGAAGCCACCTGGGTACTCATAAAGATTGAAGCAGGTAGTAGTTTTTTAAAGCTCTCCCCTAGTTCAGATTGATGCTAATTCAAAGTTTCCCTATCTTGGCAACGAAGAAAGGGCTAGTTTTCAGCTACATACCTTCTTTCTTCTTGTGCGCCATCATTCGTGCGTAGTCTTCGGCTGTGAACTCAAAAAAATCATCTGGTTCCTCAGCAGTCACAAGAGTCGAGTTAAGCCCACATTAAATCATAATCTTTCATCTTCAATGAAGCTTACGAAGTGTAGCGACGCAAATTATATGGTAAATGGTAAATGGTAAATAGATCAAGCCCGTGGGACCCAAAGGGTCAAAAGGCTAAAAAACACAATACAAACAATCCAACTCCAAACTAGGAGAGAACCAAAAGAACCCCCTAGCTAGGGTGTACATTCACATATACATCTTCGACATTGAGGGAGCCTTTGAGTGGTATAACGCGCACTTCTTTGCGGTGGTTACATCGATGAGTTTCACCAATGGCAGTTTCCAACATGCAAGATAGAAGAAATGAAACTACCTGGTTCTGGGCCGGCAGCAGAGCTTGCTTGTGATGGTGGAACAGAGGCTGGCCTCAGAAAGACATGAACCTCACGTCCTACAGTTGTTGCGACTGCGGAAAGCATGTCCTGCATCAAAGAATCGACTTGTGAGAAAGAAATTTGAGGCTTCTATAATTGAATGTGATAACAGATTGGACACCAAATCCGAGTTCAATGGACGGGTTCATAAGGTTAAGTCGCAGTGGAGCAAGACAAAGACCCATATGTACTCTTTGGCATGGCATCGGTGTCTAACTACTGCTGTGTCACTACTCCAGAATGCAAGATGATTAAGACCATCATATTCCCCCAACATGATTAGCAGTAAGATCACGAATGACAAAGCTCAAGTATACCAGAGAGGGGAGGAGTTTGGAGCCGGGCCGCACAATCACGGGACGACCCATGAACTTTCTTATGAAAAAGCTAGGGTAATTGGCACTCTCCATGGATGTTACATTTACCTACACAGATAACCACAAATGCAATGTTCGAATGCGCAGATACTTCCAGAAGACCACCTCTACATATACTCAGAAGCAATAAAAATACTCATACAAGGTGGACACGGAAGTATCTTGCAATTCAAACCTAACCTTTACCTTTAGATACTCACATGAGATTCTAAAGCCTTCCTTCTAAATGAGAAACCTGGCTCTGATTTCATGTTTTCTGCCCCTCTCAAACAATCTGACCCTTCATTACTTCACTTGATAAGTGGAAGACTTAAGCGAGGGACAGACAGATCACGCTAATGCAGTAAAACCGATCCAAATCTTTTCAGTTACTATGCCACGAGTTTGACCTAAATTACTCGTTTAGTATGCAATGACCCGACTAGTCGAAGAATGAGGGCACATCCAGGGCAAGACCCAAGCAATTTACCCGACCATTCAGCAACAGAATGGGGAAGCGACATGACTCTACTGTAAAGAGAATCACCTGAGCCTGGGCCGGATCAATCACTTCTCCCTCGGCAGTATCCATCATTCACCGCTTTCAAGCGCTTCCTCCTGAAGCAGCTTAATCTTTCCAACTCTTTGAATCTTAAATCACCTGGCAAACGACTTGAAATATCTCACTTCCTCGCCGACCCCTTCTTCTGATCGTCCCCAAGGTGATGCCAAGTGAAGCGAATTCAGAGAGTCTTGCAGGTATTCACAATATCTAGAAAGACCCAACGTGAACAGCCATGCGGAATCCCAGTATTCCCGAACAATAAGATGAACACCCAACCGCCGACCAGCAATCTCCCTCACCACCCTCCAATCGCACAGTCCTCTTAGCAGGTCTTTCCCAAATGAAGATTGACTTCTTCCCTTAAGTACGATCTTCGTTCAATCAACTTATTCAATACACCCTCAATCCTTCGTGCCTCTTATTCCAGCTTCGAGGGGTGCACAGGAACGCTTGAAGGAGCGCAACAGAAGATCCCCCTCCACCTCCGATCCTCTTTGTGTCAAAGACTGATTAAGTATGAAACCGTCCACACTAGATTCACCGGTCTTAATGAGAACCCGAGCTTCTCAATTCTATCTCTCGGGATTGAGCGCCTGTTAGACCTGTCTATGAGACTCGGTATGATCTTATGAAGGACCCCGGTTTCATTCGGGGAGCAAAGAGGGCAACTCTACCCCAAAATTACGACTGTTCATGCTATTCTTCAGCACACAAATTCTCCACTTGCCGAGAGCAACTTTTGGGCGCAAACGACCTCTCTCTGATGCCACTCGATCCCTCTCTCCTACCCTCGCTTTACACTTTTGTCTTCTCGATACTTGATGTATTCCACGACGAGGCTTGATCGTTGCTTCCTATCTATCCACTCGTCGAGTCCAGGAATTCATACAACCTGAGACTTCCCATGACCCATGCATGTCACGAATCCCTCTCCCCACCGCACCCTATGGGACGAAGAGTGCAAGCAAGCAGCATGTCAGTCTGTCAGGTACCAGATACGGAATGTATCATACGATATGGTACTGTACTGTATATACATGTGTGTGTATATCATCACCGTATCGTATTCACAGATGTCCCCTCCGCATTGACCCTGCCTGCAGTCATCAATTTCTTTCTTTCGTTTCGCTTTGTATATTTTCTTATTTTGTTGCATGAAGGGAGGAGGTGGCTGCCGCTAAAAGAAAGGGATGCAAAGTGGAATCCTTACCACCCTCCTCCAACCGGAGACAACAAGAAAGTAGAGGAGAAAATGAGAGCGAAGAAGTTTCTTGTTAGTAATTTTACCTTGGTTGATAGCATAATGAATGGGAGATTTTTATGATTAACTCAAGGAATCTAGATAAAATTTTGATCCTATACACTAATAATATTCACCATTATTAGAGAGATTTACTTATGTTTTGATCAAAATTTTTTACATGTATCTTGAAACTCTGAACAGTATGAATAACTAAATTTGCTCTTTAGGCATATTAACAACATCAAGAAGTTTAAGACAAAAAATCTGCATATATTACTATAGATTATTATTGTATTGACATATTTTAATGTTTATAGAAAACAACCTGACAAATTGATGTCAACACGACTAAGGAAAAAATGTTATACTAAATTGAAATGAGATTGAATATGTTTACAACGTCTAAAAGTTTAATTAAGTGATTTGAAAAAAATGACATCAAAGTTAGTGATCTGAAAAATAGACGTTTATTCTGTATAAAATTTTGATTTTATACTCCATCAAACCTACGCATTTTATATTATTTGAATATAATTACATAATCTATAATCAATTGTATTGTAGCTATTTAGTATCAATATTTTTGTACATATGCATACTACATCAAATACATACTATTGCATTAGCAAACATTATAACATAAAAATTATCATACATTGACACAAATAACAACAATCATGATATTTTATTTCAAAACTTTATCAATATACATATTTTATGATGCAAAATCACAAATTATCGTTCCTAATCTAGCACTAAATTAAAATTGATTACAACACTATATTTGTAAACTTTATGTAAAAAGTACACTCAAAATGAATCTAGTTTAATTATATTTGTATTTTTATTTAAAGTAAATGAATCTAAGATTGGAAATAATTTTTCATTTCATATCTATTAGTTTATCAATTTTGATTATTATATAGAATTTTACATTCATATATTTATTCAACTCATCCTGACGTGATAAAATTTGTAACATCTATTTTGCACATGACTATTAAGTCACAACAAAATTCTATCTTATTTCATACATCATATTACATAGTTTATCAGAAATTTACGTAATTGTACAATCATTACTTTTTTATTGATAGAAAATATTTTTTTTAAAAAAAAAATATAATGTGCAAAATAGCTGAAGATTTTGAAGTTAAATGTTATATTATGATGACTCACCTATATGCAATACAAAGTTGATAACAATAATATTAGATATTATATTAAATATATTTTTGATTTATGAATTATTTTTTAACTATAATTTTGAATCAGGTTGAATTAAAATTCAATAAATATTTTGTAATTAATTGAAATTTTTTTTTAAATGTTCTCAAAATATTAAATATATCTAAAATGCAAACTGATCCAATTTTCATCACATGTTTTCAATCAAAATCCAAATAACACAATGTAAATTTTGTGATGTAATGTTCGCATTACAACTTGCACAATTGGACTTTAGCTATATCATAAAAAGTATTTATAGTTACATTCTGATATATATATATATATATATATACACACACACACACAAATACTTATAGTACAAAAATGAAAAAACCCTTGATATAAAGCTTTGACATGAACACAATACTTGGATTATATTTAAAAATATTTTAAAAATTATTTTTCATTTTTTAAATCCAATAAATTTTAATATATGAATAAACTTGTTTCGATATGATGATGCAGAGGAAAAATCTCAAAAAATATACATTGTTAGATGATAGCAAGTGTGTCAAATATGGTATGAAAAATCAAATATCTAAAATAATCCAATTCAATTGAAGTTGCAATATCTTTTTATTCTAAGAATGATAAAAGATAATGAGTTGAAATATTCTACAAATATTTTTACACATAATTGATTAGTCAAATATTATTGTAAATCATAAAGCCAACTTAAGATCAATCTAATATTCATGATCTAAATCTATCATTTTTACTTGTATTCTTGCCACAAAATTGAAATTGAAATTGAAATTATTTCATATCTCATTTTTCACAATTACATTATATCTCCTTAATTATCTGATAACGATATTTGATAAGAGGAAAAAAAGAAATAAAAACATAGTTATCATAACATCAATCAAGTTTAAATTTTTACATTTAAAAAAATCGATTTAATAATTCATATTGTAATATGATTGCTATGTTTAAATCATTTTTTTTATTTTTTATATGTTCGAATATTCATACCCCAGTAACTGACATGACATTGTCATTAGAAACTCTCTAGATGAAATTAATTTATATCCAACTGGAAAAAGTTATTTCAATAATAATCATACATAATAAATGACAAACACTGATATCATAATCATGTATCATTTAATAAATTACATATGTTAGTATGTTTGAATTAATTATTATTTTGATGTAATAGAATGTAAGATAGATGAATTTACTTTGATTTGTTTGCAAACTCCTAATAGATTTTGAATAAGAAAAATAAAGCACCAATTGTTTTTTCACACATTTCATGATAAAAAATCATTTGAAACATAAATTGTTTTCTGTCTTCATCGTTTTTATGTTCTCAAAAAATAACAGAATAAATGACATTGTATTGCAATGAAACAAAAATTTTAAAAATAAAATCCATCCAAAATTCTCAAATGTAAAATTCATTATAACTTGAAAAATTTTACATGTATAAAAATTATACAACAGGTAAAATTTTCATCACCTAGTGAACTCTATTATAAAAGATTATACTGAGATTCAGCAGTTTGACAGAAATGTCTTTTGACTTACTATCTGACTACATGCTGCTTTCAAAATGATCCAGCCAATATTGAATATAGATGAAAAATGTAGATTGCTTAATTGAATCAAAAACCATTGTTAACTTTTAATGATGCTACAGAACTGATAAGAATTTATTATTATCTACTCTTTTAGAGCAAAAGTGTAAAAAAAATTGCTAAAACATACTGAAATTGATAAATAGATTTATGATGCTTGCAGCCAAAAATTATTTGGCCATTTCTTAATAAACATGAAAATTTTCCGTGAAATCATCTTCAGCATGATTTAATAAGCGTTTGTCTCATAATAAGGTTCGTTCATTTTAAGTTCAGAAGTTTTAGGATAATCGAATTGTATTTGAAGTGTTTTGAGATGTGCAAAATTTGGATGTTTACAATTTTTTCAAAACGAATGATTTTCAAACGAATTTTTTGACGAAGAAAAGTTTCACTTACAAAACAAGTCAATCGCAAACTTGCTGAAAATAGATTTTTTGATTGTATTTGAGAAGAGCTCTTTGTAATTAGTTTTAGTTCAATATCTTATGGTTTTTACAGCGAAAAGATTCATCTAAAATTTAAACCTTGAAAAAACTTTCAATTTGAATTGATTAGTTTTTCACCACATTGTAATTTATACTTAGTTTTGATTCTATTCGTACCTTTTTCAAACTGGAATATACTCTTTGTACGCTATTTAAATACATCTCATGTGAGATGTCTGTGAAATTCAGGAAAGAAATATTGTTAAAAAACACATACTTTTATCAAATCTTGAATTTTTGGTATGGAAAAAAATGAACAAAAATACGGTTTGAAACTAGGTTTCTAATGTATTTACGATTAGGTCTATGACCGTATATCTCGATAACCACCGTTTTTTCCTGAAAAAGATTTGAGTGTATATACGTTGAAAGTGAATTAAAATTAGAATATGGCTTGCTTCCACGTTGACATCCTGTGGAAAGAACTTGCGACTTTTAACCATACCTCAAAGTCAATTCAAGGCATATGTTTTCTCTCGTAGTGTAAAAATTAACGTACATAGTTCCTCCATGCGCAACTAGCTAATTTGGTTCGCCAATTTAGAAAGACAAGCGGGTCAGCCTTTGAGCAGCTGACCGTGTAACACAGCATTTCAAATATCCTCCTGTTCACCTACAACAAATGCAACCATCCCACCTGCGCTACAGTAGAGAAGCAAAATGCCCCTTACATTCAGTTGAACACTCTTAAGCGGCATTGGAACTTCTTCATACGCGTGTTTTAGCAGAAACACAAACTCAGCGTATCAATTTATCGTACGAAGGCATAAGGTCATAAGTCATGACAACATGAGGTCATAACAACAGAGGTCATAAGTCATGACAACCTCTGCGGATTTTTCTCCTGTAGTTCAAGCCCATAGGCGAAGGTCATCCACTAAATCTCCAGTTTCATTCATCTAAATCTTCTCATGCCGGATGGAAACAGAATAACTTTAATGATATAATATGACTGTGGAATCTAGAGTTCCAGTTTGAAGCTTCGAAATCATCTTGCCAAGTTTTGCAAGCCCCTCAGAGCAGTAAGCAACGTCGACAGTCAGGTCGGTAGCCTTAGACATCAGGATATGCTTTGCAACAATATGCGAGTTGCAGAGTCACAGTGTATCTCAAGTGCGCTCGAAGAAGTGCTCAAATACTGTGCACTGTGCCACTGAACTTCTTGAAATAATTGAGCACAATACCGCGAACGTTAGATACTATGGCACTAATGTTCATCCGCTCACAAAAGATGCGAATCAACAGCTTCTAAAGTCTTTAAGCAGACGAAAGAGATTTACATAGACATGTAAATCTCGCACATATGATCTCATGGTCAACGACAGGACATGGTGTTGTCGGACCCTGAATCCAGAATCAATGATCTCGAATAATAGTCTTGGTTTACAGAGCAAGAATAACAATGGACAAACCGAGTAGACATCAAGAGCCTGGAGGGTAAATCGATCCAGCATAAGTAAACAAAATTTTCCGGATGCACATATTTACAGGACTCGCTAAAGTGACCTCACAGGAAAGCGAGCATAAAACTCCTCAATCTCATAATTTAGCAAACTCCGTCTTCTCTCTAACTCACACCGTTGTACAATCGACTTCAGGATGTTCTCCGTAGTGGACATCTCTTCGCAATACAGATCACAGCATTTTTTCCTAATCTGAAGCAAAGATCTTCTGAGTTCAGGAGGCGTATCTTTATGTTCAGGCAGCACTTTAGAGCAATCCACAGGAGCTCGGGTTGGGTTCAACAACGACGAACCGTCAAAGTGTATCACAAATTGCTGATCACTTCTCACCGATCGCGGATATATGGTGATCTTCGGTCTGGCAGACTTCACTTCAGCTAAGACTTTGTCATCTTCCTCTGAGTCAGATGATCGAAGGTGTGCAGATTGCGTCGTATGTACATCATCGTCGTACTCATCTTCAAAATCTTTGTCAGTGCAGATTGAGTTGACGGATCCTTTACCCCAGCTTCTATCCCACAGCTTGAAGAGTTGACCTTCATGTGATTCCTTCCATGCGGTCGAGAAAGAACTGGCCCTTCCTCGCAAACTAAGATACTTTGATTTCATGCGCCGAATCTTCTGGTGAAACTGAGACAGAGATAGAGGAGGGTCAGAAATGTCCAAAATCTCCATCATTGACTGCCAATACTTACTGCCTTTCTCCTTCGGAAATTTAGAACCAAACTCTGATGCTCTCTGCAATGCCTTCGCGAGAAGGATCTCTTCGGAAGGGAGCCAGATGTGAGGTGTACATGGACTCCTGAAAGCACTCGCCGAAGATTTACGTGCCCTCTTGAGATTTGCAGCCGCAATCTCAGGTGCGGAAGCGGCTCGTTTCTTTTCGCTCGAAGCAGCCGTCAAGTCTTCTTTACGTCCCGACAGACTCTTGTCTCCGACTGAAGCGTGTCCTTTATGTACAGAATTATGCAATTCAACGACTGGTGGGTCGGTGAATGTTACTCGTTTCCCATCAACCTTCCCGACTTTTACAGGCTTTTGAATCACATCCGCTTCCACCGTCTTATTCACTTTGGCTGCTCCTGAAGACCGCGGTAACTCCTCGGTAGCATCATTCTTCGAATCTTCGGACTCTTCAGATGCAGATTCTTCGGATGAAGATGATTCAGGTTTTAGTTTTGACACATCCACCAATTTCTTCTCAGCTTGCACTGCACTAGCAACCGGTTGTGCTTTCTCGGACTCACTAGTGGAATCCGAAGTAGAGCTACTGGAGCTCTCGTTCTTCGACATTGAAATGATGATCCGTGCTCGAGTTATAGAGCTTCAGGTTGAGCAGTCTCAAGGAAACGGCAGATGTAGAGCTATATTCAGGCAGAAGCAACACTCGAATGTGAATTGACGTCAGTAAAAATTTTTACCTTCCAGAATGGAGGTATAAATAGGGATCGAACAATTCATCTGATTCCGTCAATCATATCTTCTACATGACATGCGCGTGCTCCGAAATGTACGACTGCAATCTAGATCAAGGTTTGACAGGGAATGTCTCACTGGCATTCCGGATGCTAGCAGAGGAGTCAGCTAAAGAAGCGGCAAACTTCGTAGAACGGAGCACACTGCAAAATGCGAAGTGAAAGCTAATATTTAAGTGCAAACTAATATCCATCAAGCAAACTCTGGCTTCTTGAATATGACCTCTGACAGGGGGTATGATGTTTAAAATTTTGTAATCATCAAAGATTGGAACGATCAAATCGGCCTACAAGTTGACATGGGGTGAAATAAAGGTTGGCTAGGCACTGAAATTGTAGTGGTCAGCGACATCTTCTAGACGAGAAAAACTTTAGCTCAAAAGTGAATTTGAAACAGCCGCCCAGATCTCTATCGGGAAGTGCAACCAACAGAATTAAACAGTCTTTCACGAGTATCGGCGATTTATCTGTACCTTTCTACAGTTGGCTGGTAAGCCGTCATATACAGTTGTCTCTTGTGCACGAAGTTCTATGAACCCACGCAGCTGAGGCTTTTTATGTTGCTTTCGGCTCTTTCGAACATCGTACACAAGTTTGGTGCACAATTTATGTCATCAATTATAAGTTGTACTGTGATCATAATGCTGTGACATTCTTCGCAGTTGTTTATGAATAGATAAATGCGAATTGACTCCACTACCCGTCGCTTGTTCTTCCTCGTAGAAAGTGGACATTAATGATTTCCAAACTTGTTCAGTATTCAGCCGTAGAACAGTGTTGTGAAACCCTGTTAATGTCAGAGTATCACTTCGCACCGTACGATTCTCAAAGCAGTAAGTAAATTTCAGAGCTAGAGAATATGTAAGACTGTTGTTACCCACAACCTATTAATCTAGACAGACCATAGAAGATATCACTTGTGAACTTCACTTTGCAGACACACCGTGCGTATCACAGGCAAGGACTACGACTTTTTCCGAGTGTGTCTTAATCATTTCTTGACTCTCGTTTCTTGACCGAGTGTAAACTTTAGATTTGCGCATGCTGTCTATAAAATGAGGCCATCATCATGATTTCTGAATTTGGTTTGAAACCTTTTTCATGATCAATCCAATGCCCGAGCTAAAGTTATCTGATCAGGTCGATTTAGCGTGATTTTTCCACGTTATCTGCCCGTTCACGCTCGCGGCGAGATACATATCTGATTCAACTGAGAGGTTGGGACGATGAGAGCAAATGTGAAGGTGACGAGACGTCACTCGTCTGACTGTAGACATGCTGCAGGCATGGTTTTTCTACTGGTCTCTGCCAACGTCACAAACAAGGTTCAATATGTCAAACCTGTTTCACATGCACTCTATCCTTAGCTGACTGCGATCTTCATTCAGTCAAATTTAAATTGTGCGCCTTGATATTGATGTTGAATTTTACCGTCGAAAACAAGTGGAGGGGAATGAAAAAGCCTCAGAACAAACCACATACTTCCACAAAAGCAAAGATGCCAAAAACCGCAACTGAAAGTGCTTTCTCAGACTAACGGCCATCCCATGACCAAGGCCTTTACTGCAAGTATCATATCACACAAAGTATTTGAAAGGTACGTAGAATTAATCTTGAAACTATCAGGTACATCAACTGCATCTCCCGGTGAATCCCTTGGAATCGTGGTACATATATACAGCTCCGACTTCAAAATTCAATAAAATCCATTGCTGTTTCACTGCATCTCGCTCGTTCTCATGCTTTCGTCAGTGGAAGAGTCAACCGTAGGTCCCAGCCTCAACATTCGGTGAACCCTACAGCAGACAATAAAAAATCTTTGGAAAACAAATCTAAGAAATTGCGGGTCTTGAATTTTCTACTGAGGAATCTACACTTCGGTTCTTCTATCAACTTCGGATACCCAGTGCGGCATCATGTCACCGACAACGCCAGGTTACTGACTGCTAGTTTGAATATGGACTTTTTATACCTTTCAACCGTAGATTCAATCAAAGTGACCTAGTCGTTTCGCAATCTCCTTCGCAAGCTGCACCCGCTTCAGTTCTATCTCGAGTTGTTTTTCCTCCATCTCAATCTCCTGACTACGCAGGACGAACAATTGCTCTCGCATCTCATCGGACGCTCGGGAGCAGGGGCATCTGTGTAACAAATCGTCGCGCTTCAGCCCACGAAACAAGCCTTGAGAGTCCGAACACCAACAGCTTGAACACGACGGAGTGCAGCGGTGCTTCCTTCCGAGGGCGTAACAACGCGCATCGTCGACGATTGCAGCCGTCTCTTTGCGGGTCGCCTCTATGTGCTCAAGGCACGAGTCTCTGAACTCCTGAACGACAGTGGAAACGTCTCTGAGAGTTCGGCTCAATTGCAATGCAATGGTCGGCACGGGAGCTTTCGGTTTCTTCCGTCTTGCAGAATCGATCCCGCCAGGCTCGATGTGGGCTGCCTCGACTCCTCTGTCGGATGCGTTTCCGATTCGCGGAATAAGCGGCGGGAAAAGTCGGGGCTCGGAGGCGATTGCAGGGCGCCCTTCAGTTGGACGCTTCGATTTGCCTTTCGCTTCTCTTGCTTCATCAGTGAGTGCTGATTTCCCAACTGCTAGTTCTTGCCGTTGGACGACTGGAAATTCTCTGGCAGACTCGGAGGACTCGCTAGGCTTCCTGGTGGAAGTGGACGGACGCCCTGTGGCTTGCTCTTCATCACCACAGAGTTTCTCAGTGCTCTTGTCCGACACCTCCTTTGCCTGAGTCAAGCGGCCTACATGTGCTCCCGTACCCCAAATTTTGTCCCATATGTTGAAGAGCCTCAACTCATGATCACTCCTCCACAGGTCAGGCCCAATCCTCCAGATGGTGCTGTATTTCCTCTTCATGCGACGCACCTTCTCGGTTACCTGCACTTCTGAGACAAAGATTCTCTCGCGCGCCAACCGCTCGACGACTGTCATCCAATACGGGTGCACTCTCGAGGCGGGAATTGTACTTCCGCTGGCTTTGTCTTCACGAAGAATATTGGAGAGTATGATCTCCACGTCTCCTGCCCAGGAGAAAAATTTCTTGATCTTGGAAGGACCTTTGCGTACGGGAGCCGCTGGGGCAGGCTGCTCTCTTTCTTCTGGACAATTTTCTACCGATTGCAATTGCTTCTGCTTCTTCCGTTCAGATCGAGAGCTCCCAGCAACAGGCTCGGTTGATCTCTCTAAATCCACTGCAAGTGCTTCGATTTCCATAGCACTGGAAGTAGCGTCGCATTTCTGACCCTTTGATGGAGATTCGGGCTCAGCTGACGCTACGCCAGGCAAATCCGCTTTGCTCTCCCTATTTTCTTCCTTTGACGTATCCTCGAGCACGACGTCCTCCTTCTCTGCCTCTTTATCGTTATTGATATCCTTCATCTCGTCAACCAGCTCCTGCGCGATTCTGATGACCGTCGTGAATAGAGGAATATCGCTGCCGGAGATGTCTTCGACTGACGATTCCACTTGAACTCCTCTGTGACTGAGAGCCGAATGCTGTGAGGGCAATTGTTGCTTCTCACGGCTGAATCCAAGTTCATCGTCTGCGATTATAGACTTTGCGACGAGCTCGGAGTTCGTCATGCTTTTAAACTCTTCTCACTAATTAAAGCTCGGGATCAGCTAGAAGGTTCTTCAAATCAGTACAGGCACTTGAATCTATGACCACTAGATCTGTTCTCCCTTCACGATTTCGAAAAATTGTGCCAAGTAATTGCACCGATCTTACAGGAGATCGAAGGATGTTCGGAAGAATTGCCCAGTGATCAATATTCCCACGTAGCCGTCAAACCGACTACAAAGGACTTCACCCCGACCACCCATAAAACTATTATGAGCGAAACTACTATATCTTTCAAAGTTACTATTTAGCCCTCAATGTGACTCATGATTCATCACCGTACATCAGCATGAGTTCGTTCGTTCCCGCGACTCTTTTCATGTCGTCGGGACTCCGGCGAATCAGCTTAGTGGCCAGTCCTCGACTTCTTTTTGGCGGGTACAAGGTGTGGCATGGGCAAATGAGGCGGCGCTAGTACTTCAGGGAATTAACAAACGAGCAGACTTACTCTTCCAAATTACACGTACACAAACTTCGAAAATGCGAGCTACTCCGCGCACATCCAGCCCGAATGTTTATGTCAGAGATCATTGCCACCTCTGAAGAATTGAAGAAACTCCAAGGGCACATCCAGTAAGTGGATTGATTTTTTCAAATTCACACTTCGTAGATCGCCAGCTTTAAACTCCACCATTTTCTCAATCTCCTCTAGTTACGGATGTGAAAGACACTTTGTCTTGATAAGATTTCCTTTGGTTCCACGTATCCGGCGCGAATATTGTGACCCGGTTATGAGCCTCGAAGTGCAATTAGTTTGGCCTTGATTTTTTCTGTGCCCCAGTCGTCGTCTTGTATACTTCCATGTGACAAGTCGCACGCGTGTGAGGACATTGTGGCCTCGTCCGCCACTTTTCACACCACGCGCATCAAAATCATGATCATTTAAGTACAGTAGGGGCTGGCGTCAAGTCGCAGGAAGACAATCTAGCAATTCCACAGAGCGGCCGCCAGACAAGTTGGACAGAAGTTGTCAAAGTTTGGACAAAGTAGTACCTGCTTCAAAATAATCTTCAAAGTACAAATCACATAACTTGCTTCTCTACGGTTTGACACTTTCATTGTAGTCAACTCCAAATGTGCATATCAGATAAAACTATCAACTACATCATCTACATCAGGATAATTACTCTATCTCTCTTCAATGACTTAGTGGAAAGCCATCCTTTCCATTGAATAATAGCTCTCAAACCCAACGTAGAAACCGTCTTTTGGTGCAAAAAGAAAAGGCGACCTATGGAATGAAGAGGAATATGGCAAAACCCATGTGCAAATCAAAGAACAATGAATACCTCACCCAAGGAGGTTTAAAAAAACAGAATCGCTGTCGTAATATGTTCCAAAAAACTTGCTTTCTATCTACGAGAATTAGTTTGATTATTTGTCCAACTATACTATGGTTAGACATCTCAATTGGTGATCGGGTGGAACACATCTAGCCCCTTCATTATAAAGTAAGTTTAGAGTTCCGCTTGTTTTTTTTGTGAAAGCGAACTGTGGACAGAAATGTATTCTGGAGCAAATCTTTCAAGCTTAAAGTAGAATCAGCAGATTTCAATAACTCTCATATACAAGTCAATTTGAAGGATACATATGATCTATGGATGTGACCTATAATAAGTAAGTAAGTAAACACATACATACATACATACAGCATCTAAACGGGACCTGATGAGCTTTACAAACTTGTAAGTCTTGGTTTTTGAAATTAAGTATTTGCATTTCTTGTGATGAAACAAGGGTTATCAGCAGGCAGGAGTCTGCATACTCATAAACACTTGAGCAGGTACGTAATCTTAACTTACGGATTGAAATAAGAGCCACATAAATTTAAATGTAGCTGTTCAGCTACTTCACTTGTGATATTGCCATGAGGGTACTGAAGTAACTGGAGGTCAAAGACTACGTGCTAAAGTTTTGGAATGAGAGCAACCTAGAGCTGTAATCCTAACCTAAAACTTGTGTTGTCTTGCCTTTTATGTCTAGTCCTTTGCTCTGTGTATACATCTGCGACAGGGAAATTCATTCCGTCGATTTTATCTATGTTCTTCGAGGAATTGCAGGATAGGAATGAATACATCCTGTGTACGATTTACACTGTAAGAAAGGTCGTAATGGGCATAAGATGGCAAAAACACAGTCTTCGAACGGCCTCTGAAGCGCGATAAGAAATACCGGTTTCCATTTGGAGGAGCATATTCGTCCTGTCCGCCGTAAATCACGAGAACTGGCAGGTATGGCGGGATGTCTTCGGGATAGTATGCGGGTGCATATGGTACTCCGTAAGCCAGAGTGTTGTTGACGGGGCTTCTGTAGTCGTAATGGGACCAAGTGTTTGTCCTCACCCCTGCACATTGACAAGAACACTCAGAAACAGGTTTATCAGGCAGATAGACGAGAATCACACTAAAGCACCCGAGACCTATGACAGATTTGACTTATTACCTTGTTGATAGTGCAAGAGGTTCTTGAAGGATGTAGTACCATCCCATCCATTATTGAAAGAGACGACTGCCGACCCCAAGCAACAGTTAGGACCTGCGGACATGAACAGCATAGCAATCATCAGTGCAGCCAGGCGAGATCTCGGAAGAAGGTTCGTCTGACGGAGATCTTATAGCAGAAAAGTTTCAGCATTGACTAAAATCATATAATGACGGTGGTTGAGAATGATATTGATTTTGATTTCATTGAGTGATGTTACCTGAAATCGTCCCCATCACTAAAGCCAATGGACCCTGGCCAGTTATGGTGGTCACAGGAAATGCTCTGCAGCACAAAATTTAGTCGATTAGGTTTCTTTGCCAACAGGAACAACTTTGTTCATGGAATCCCAGACATTTAAGTAACGTCTTTGTAACTGAATCCAGTCAGTGAATGTCACCTGGAGAAATTGAACGCTCCGTTCTGGTACCCTTCATCCCATGCTGACTGGAGCAGAAGCAAAGTTTTTGATTCAAAAACCAAACAGGTTAGCATAACAGAGTAGACATAATATTCTAATGGAATAAACATCAGGGCCAGTGAACCTCTAGAGTGGAGACTGTCTATTCAACAACAATTCTATACCTATATCCAGCACTGTGATTCTTTTCACCCAACCCATATATGATCAAAAAAAGTTTTTCATTACTTGATCAACTGCACTGCCGAATAGGAAAGCCCACGCCTCCAGCATAAGGGAGCTACTATTTCCCCTGAACATAGTCGGCCCTATCAAGGTCAAGCTTTTGATGAGCCGCGAGCTTCGGGGCATGGTTGCTGCTGCTGCTCCCACAGTTGCGCTCTGCACGAACGTATACTTGATGAATCCGTGATTTTAAGTTCAATGACAACATTCTCATTGAACAAGATGACAAGTCCTATATTCTTTACACACTGAATAGTTGCACCACAAAACATCTCAATATTATTAGCCTTGGCTTCCATAGCTTCTATATTTAAGTTTCAAATCATAAGCACGTGTGTTTCAGCGCAGAAGTTGCACGTATGGATGAAGATTTAGTGACAACTAGACCAGAAATACTGCAAACTCATCGTGTTACCTGAGAAATTCCGATGTAGTGTACATTCAGTCGCGTAATCTCGTTGATGAGCTCCAAGAAAGCGGGGACATCGCTTCTGGCATGGTCATCCCAAGTCCAATTCCAATAGCTCTGCGTTCAAAATTCAACAATATCAGTTCTCAGAAAGTCTGAACTAACTCTCCGCCCGTGCTCAGAAACTTAGAAATGAGTACAAGAGAAATTTCGAAAAGAAGAGAAAAGCAGAAACCGGCTGGCGACAAGCAGATTCGTTTTGTTGCTGTGTACAGATTCAAGACAGACTAATCGGTGAGTAGTTATAGCTAGGAAGGTATGATTTGTCGTATTATGTATTTTGACTGCTAGGATAGAATCTTTGAGCAGATCAAAGACTCCTTACATCAGAAACGACTGAGAAACTCAGTCACCCTACGACGGAGTTACTCAACTCCTTCATAACAGGAAATATAAGATTGTTAAAACTTCACATGAAGGAAGTGTAAGTGATCCAAAAATATGCTGAAAGTCCCCGCCTTTGAAAATATGTTTACCTGCTCGTTCGGATGGAAATGAACATGATCATGACTCCAAAATGTGGCTCGCTCGTGCCCAATCCACACATCAAATCCTGCATCAAGTAGTAAAAAGGGAAGCAACCTGTCGGTAGATTCTGTAAACTGGAACCAGCTTTCCCCGCTCATGAATTCTTGGTGCATGAGCAACACCGGATCTCTTCCCTCTACAAACTCTTGAAATACTTGATCAACCATGGGAGACGGACTGAGTGCTTCTGAAGGACCAGCTGACGGAGCCTGATTAGGACTGGACACCGGTGCTTCAGACGGTTCACTCATTGAAGAGCCCTCTGTCAAAGATGAATCTGGCGCAGGCGCTTCAGACTGAACTAACGTAGAGGGACCATCCGACACCGATTGTTCAGGTGCATAATATACAGGACTGGGTGCTGCAGACTGGACACGGACAGAAGGACCATCCGAGAAAGATGGTTGTGAGGGAGAATGTACAGGGCTAGGAGCTATTGACTGGATAGTTATGGAAGAACCATCCGAAAGAGGCGATTGTGGCGCAGAATATTGAGAGCCAGGCGCTTCCGACTGGACTATTAGAAAAGACCCATCGGAAGTAGATGGCTCGGGTGCAGAATGAACAGCACCACCAGAAGGAGCAATTCCGACACTGCCTCGATCTGGTCCGTTAGCCTTGGTGGCAGGTGAAGTTGCTGTAGTCGTGTGGCTGCTGTTGTGATGGCTATGATGTCTGTGGTGAGGATGTTGACGAGCTGCAGGAGGTGAACTAGTTGAACTTTGAGGATTATCTGCCTTTTCGTCAGAAGCTATAGAGCCATTTCGATCTGTCGCATAACTTCTGCCATTAGACAAATATTTCCTTGAAGGCTCAGGAAATGAAGTGACGGGCGCAAGAGGCAAGTTTCCCGAAGATGTTTTGCCACTTTTTCCTCCGTCTGATTCCTTCGTGAAGCCTTCATGTCCATATGTTCGAGTTTGCGTTGACTCCGACGTTGTCATCAGAGGTTCCAGAATGAGATCTGGATCTAAGCTTCGATCTATGACAGGTGGAAGCTCAATTTGCCTCTGGCAAAGTTCTGAGGGCTCATTTTCATCACAGCCTGAAATTGCATGGCCTCCCCATAAGTGACTTCTCTCATATGGAAGAAGCTGTTCACTTTTTCTGTCTTCCAGAGAGTGTTCTCCAACGTAAGGCAAAACCTCATTGCTGCTCGGAATCTGATCCACCTGGTAAGGAAAATTCTGGTCAGCAATATTGTTAATCGCAGAGTCATCTCCATTGTGAGGCGATCCTTCGTCAGACTTGGGTAAATCTTCTTGGGTAGAGGGTGGTTGCAATGGCAAACAGCCTGGCGAGTTGAAAGGATGCTCCTGGTTTTCACAGCTCATCGGAGGTATTTCACTCATATCAGGCACAGGCAATCGATGCTGTAATATTCTTCTTCTACTCCCGATTCTATGCACCACCAACATATATCCATCTTCCGATTGCGTCTGGTCATTCAAAAACATATTTCATCAGTAAACAAATCCGTAGATAGAAGTGGTTGAATAGTTCAAACTCAAATTGCCTTGCTTTGGTCAAATATGACAACTTCTTACTCTGTATTCAGCACAAATGTACCCATAAGGCTCGACGAACTTTCGACAAAACTGGGACTCGAAATTCTGCACAGGCACAGCAAAGGAGCCTTGGATAACAGTAACCACAGCTAACACTGCCACGGTCAATTGCAATGGCACATTGCTGCTAATGGACATTCTTCTGTTGAAATTTCCCGACCATGGTTGGTGAGGATCTTCACAGCAGTGACCCATTTGGCTCTTGTGTAACAAGGTCCCGTCTCCGAGCCCCTAGTCTTCTTTCCTTCTGATTCTTGGCCCTGTCGATCTTAAAGTTCTGATTGCGGATGTGCAACAAAGGCTCTGTGAACCAAGTAGGCAAGAATTCGATTGAATGCTCGAAGATGTCCTTCACATACTCGGTCAGGATTCATGTACAAGTAGCCAGCATCACAGAAAGAAGACAGTTGACCGTTAAAGACCGATGGCTTTGCTAGCATTTGTCCGATGATTTAACTTTGAAAGTTGGAGAATTAGCCAGTAGTTTGTGAGTCAGAACGATTGCAAACGGTAACCCAAATGGCGATAAAGTTTTGAACTTCGTTCCGTTTCGATTCATTTTCCCAATCACAAGCTCTTCAAATTTCAAAAGAAGGTAACTGCATGGACGAGTCGAATGGTCCATCCCTTTGAGAGTGTAATGCGCTCAGGTTTCTTCATGACTCACGACCACGACTTGCTTACTGATATTATAAACGTCAAATCTTAGAGATATCCGTATTCCCGACCATGCGCATGTGGCCTATAGGTATTCGTTCCCGTGCAAAAGTAGCACTTTGGCTATGTCCTTCTTCTTCCGAAGAGTTGACATGAAGAGTCCTTCGTGCTAACCATTTCACTGCTTACTAGACTCCATCCCGTCAACACTGTTTATGATCGTTATATGTTATATGTTATGACGAGGTGAAGTCTCGTGAGCTGAAGTTTCCTAATGACGTCTTAACTCTCTGGTGATCTAACGGCATTTTGTTACAAGGTAACATCTATGCGTTTGTTTAACAAGCTTAGTTGTGTATGCATTTCTCATATTTTCATAAAATTGTATTTGCGCAAAGTGAGTTCAAAATCTGTAACATCCGTGTCACACCCAGTTGAAAGGTATACATCCGTGTCACACCCAGTTGAAAGGTATACATCCAAATTATTTATCTCTCTTTCGATTGGAATTTTGGGTTCATGGCTTGCACATGCTATGCAAAACAAATTTAGTCTATCGAAGTAAATCTTGTCATGAATTCTGTCATAGCTCAGACCTTATGTAAACTAGCAAGAGAAGATCTAATACTATGTGTACAACATCCTTGTGCAATATATTTCATTGAATCAAACTTGTACCAATTCATTCTTTTGACTCTTTCTTTGATCAAGTTATCTGGAGTTATCATTCTAAAATTCCAAACGGTTATGTAGATTATGTTATCAAACTACTTTACTTATAACCATCTTTGTTGGTGTCTAATTGATTTTTTCAAGAGTTGCAACATGTTTTATAATATGCCGCAACTCTTCTAAATCCTTAATCTAGTACTATTTACTCAATTGGATGAATACATCTAAAATAGAATTAAAGATTGTATATCCCAAATATTTTCCAACTAGATTGTTATCAATTTTTTAAATATTTTTCATGAGTAGAGGATAAACTAGCATCAACAATGACTATTCTTGAAATAAAAATTATCATAGTTGTATTCAATATTCATTTCTTTGAGATGTGTTTAGATCAAAATCATGATATCCAGTGTATTATGTATTTTTTGAATCTGAATATCTAAACTATATGTCATACTTATTGCATCAAGGCTAAAACTTCAAATATCATGATACATAATTTTTCAAATGCTTACACAAGATAACTACAAAATCTCCAAAAATTTCCACATTGATATCAATTTATCACTTACCTCACAAAAAAGTACCACCATTTGAAAATATTTTCAAACTACAAAAATATGTACTATGATCACTGCAAGTTGCTAAAACAAGAATAAATTAAACATGTGATCATTACACGCATTACTCCGGTTTACAAACTTGCAAATAATGTCTTACTGAGAATAAACATAGATATTTTTAACTAGTAAGTAAGTCCAACCTCACTAAACCTACCATATTTAAGTAGAAAAAATATAGACACAAAGCATCAAAATCCATCATAAAGCACCAAAAAATATCAAGATGGGATAATCAATCACACAAAACATATCACTTTATTATCCATAAAAAAATTTATCAAAAGTATCAAATCAGTCCAATTCATAAATATTTTTACTTACGTAAACAATATATTACTGTGGAGTTTTTGCATGAAGAGTTTAAATAAAAATTATTAGTAATTTTTCATAAATTTATATATTTTTACTCTATCTAATTTTGGCTAGGATATAATTCTAGTTAACTTCAACCTACGTTTAATTTTTTTTGAACCTTCTTGCAGAGTACCTGTTTTGATTACGGAGATAACTGTACTCAATATATGAATTCAAAGTAAGATTGTACCAATTTAAGTTAGGGGTTAACTCTAGTTAGCTTAATTTGGATGTAGGGTTTCTTCTCAGATCTGGTTATTCTGCTACCCATTCTGTATCTAAGAGGAGGAGACGTAGCTTGTCTGAAACATTTTCTTATCTTTATAGTAAGACTTCATGTTTCAACGGACGTAGACTCATAGAGATTAACCACATATATGTCGATGTTTTGTCTGCTTGTGGTGTTTTTGGGAAAAAAAAATTGGATTTTTCATTATTTATTTCCAACAAGGTCAAAATATACAAGTTAAATGTAGCAAAGACATATTGAATTGGAATTCTAGTTTGTTTCCAAGTATACCTTAGATTTTAATATTGTGTTGGATGCAAAATTGTACTATGTCAAATTACTCATAGGCTTTGTAAATGCTCATTATTGTTATTTATATTTTGAAATTATGTTAGAATCACAGCGCAATTCTGCAAAAAAAGTGACAGATTGTATGTATTTGTGATAGTTTGAATTAAGTTAAAAAAAAAGTTCGCTTGGCAAGTTTATGAGTACGTTGAAATCATAAATTTTGATGTTTATGAAATCAAAATTAAAATCAAAGATCTGTAATCAAATTTCAGTAGAGTGTTGAATATCAAAATTATTTACAATATTTAAATGCATGCCATAAGAATATCAAAGCTTTTTGAAGACTATTTGTTGACATTTTTTATTTGATTTCAACAATAAAAGACATTCAAATTTTAGTTTTAATGTTTTTAAATTTTTGGAATTTATGTCAATTTGAAATGAATTGGTGTGACTTTTTTGATAAATGATTTTGTGAATTAGAAAGTGATATATTCTGTGTGATTTATTATCTAATTTTACTTCTATATTTTTTTGTTTTATGATTAATATGAATGTTTTGTGCGGATAATATTTTGACTCAAATATGGTAATAATAGTAAGGTTAGACTTGTGTATTAATCAAAATATCTATGTATGAAAAATCAACTAAACTATAAAATCAATGTAATCCATAATAATATTAAATGTTGTAGCAAACGCACAGACTAGTTAAATTGTATCATATTTTGCTATAGGTGAAAAAATTTGGATGATACATATTATATTTTATACATATTTTATTTTTTTTAAATATATATCCATCAACTTGGTTTTCAAGATTTACTTTCATGAGATCTGCTAGATTATCTTTCACATGGTACATCTAATTGCAATTAATCATAGTTTGATTCCTTAGAAGCTACATTAGTAGAGGTCTTGTTATTCCTCAACTTTCTACATTTCACATTTCATAATAACAATTCACTCAAGATTATTGACATATAGTTGAGATTTTTTTTCCAAAATAATAATTTGTTTTCTTCCAACATCAACACAATGTCATCATCATTATCAGTATCAATTTCACAATCTTCAAAAATTAATGAATCAGTCTATAATTCATGTCTTACTTGAACTTTATTAATCCAATTTGATGATACTTTAATATGTTATTTTGATTAATCTCTATCGCATGGTGTAGATGGTAAAAATCTCATCAATAATCAATTATTTCAACTTTTGCTACTTAAAAATTTGCTTAGTTTGTAATTAAATTCTCTTTAAGTCACATTATTAATCACATATTGAATCAACTTTTTCTCAAAAACACGTGTAAATGAAGATATGTTATTGTTAATACAATGTGTCTAAAAATCTCTAGTCTCATCAAAAATGAATACGTAGCATTTAATCCTTCATACAAATGCAATATTCAAATAAAAATTCACACTTTTTGAATGTAATATAAAATTTACTACTTTTTTTTGTACATATGAAACAATAAATTCTACAATAAAAAATTAAAATTATAAAATTATAAAAGTATAATCAAACCGTTTGTGTCTCATTTTAAACTATGTCAAAAAAATTTTTGCATTAAGATAAAAAATAATTTATCAGAAACATTGCAAAATCAACTACTTTATACACAAATCTTGAATATTTATCAATAAAAAATAAAATTTTAAAGAGAGTTTCAAAATGTGAGATTTTTGAAAAGACTTTCCACACGTCATTATTTTGAAAACTCAAATAATTATTTGGAAATGTAAAATCTAACATCAAGAGGCTCGACCATAATTTAATGTTCACTAAACTCCAAGTAAATTACATTGTTTTCAAATGATAAACTAATTTTACCAAGGAGTGAGTATGTACAAACATAGAATATTTAATATGAGACATCTCAACTCAAAATTGAATAAAATTGATTTAACTATAAAAGGTAATGCTCTGTAGTCAGTAATATATCATATATTTTCAGATCAAATAATTTTTCATTAGAATTTTATTCAAAATAATTTGAATTTAGCATTTCAGAAAAGGTCAATTTTTTGTGTTATATGTAAATCTGACTCGAATTAATGTATTGGTTAAATATTCGATTTCTAAAAAAATCAATATTTTAAATCATTCTAAACTTACCATTGAAAATAAAAGCCAAATTTTTTGATACTAAGATAACATTAAGAATATTTCTCCTATATAACAAGGTTAGATGTAACGTGATAATTTTTCAATATGCTGTAATTGAATTATTTCATTGATAGTTTAATTAATTCAAATCTAACAAACATACGCTCATTATTGTGCTAACTATTCAATCATATGATACATCCCGATATACTCGGTAATGTATATGGGACCGGCAGCCCTGCTTATAGAAGTGGTTGATGTTTCAACATAGAATATTCATTGTTCCTTACATCTCAGTTCTCATTTCCTGTTATTAGAATCAACTATGTACGTTGATAAGCAGAAGAGTTTCAATGATATACCCCTTTTTACGTTACAGAGTGACATTGTCAGTGCATTTTACGTGCATTGATTTGTTGTTGGAATAATGTCACTCATTTCGGGATTCACATTTTGCCATTTTCTCAAGATATAATGCACTATTTGTTGTTGGAGGTGATAGATTTTAAGCGATAATCATCACTTTATCATCAGATAATCTCAAAGATGAACAACGTTTGAAAATTGAGTTTTCTGCAAATTAAATATTCTAGGTTACAAATTGTCACATATACGCACTTTTTGCAAATATCATGATGTATGACATTTCCGTATTAAAGATTATCTACTTTTGCACAGGGATAAATATACTAATTTCTTGTCTTTCATTTGTTTTGAACAGAAGCTTTGCGAATGGTAATTATACCGAGCGCTTGCTTTGTATCTGTTAAGCGGAAGGCAGCCCGACGAACGACGCCCGAAAGATTTTATACATTTTGCTAATTCAGGTCGAAAAGATTCACATTAACCGGAAAAATGTGTCAGTAAACAGCTGACGCACAACTCGACAATTTCGTTGTTCTATGTACATAAAAAGTTACATATCGCTTCCGACCTCATTTCGTATCAAGACAACAATTTCTATATATGGGAGTGTGCTGATGTATGACTCATTTAGAGTAGTATACTCCAAAAGCATACTCTCACTACAAGAAGCTGTGATGCCAAGCAAGATATACTATCATAACTCGGGGGACTGTAATTGACAGCATCACGGGGACTCCAAACTCCAGTATTGTAGACAACTGACTAGTAGAGCATTCTGGCAAGACATCGCGGACACTGCGGCCATGTCAAAATCAGGCGACTCACTGGTTGCAAATATTTCGTCCTAAGCAGTAAATTAAGGATCTATCAAAGTGGAAGTATGCTCAACGCTTTTCGCCACGCAGGGCAGTGTACTGGAGGCAGCAGCTTACCTGCGTCCATGTTAGCGAGCTACAACAGATTCCGGAGAAAAGCATGCGTAAACCGACAGCACTCTGCTAACAAAATTTTAGCTGCTGCAGACGGCCTAACAAAACTGGTGTGATCCAAAGATCGACACGACTGACAATTCGTTGTTTGAAATTTACAAGATAGAGGGAAAGTACAAAACTTGGAGCTACGAGGTCAGAGGCACCAAATCCTTGAAGCTTCTCCTGATAGCAGTCACACGGGAACTCCTTCGCAGAGGAGCAATACGAGAAAATTCTTCGAAATTCCCGTCACTGTCACTTTCTTCAGACGCTTGCAATGCACTTTCCACCTGCCTTCGGCGAATTACAGGAAATTCTGGAGAGCTCCCCAAAGTTGCGAAGGAGGATGGTGGAGATACGCTTCCCTTGGACGGAGTTTGAATAGCCTGGTGTCGAGGCGAGACTCTCAAAGGGATTGCCGGCGTCGCTTGAGAAAGCCTGGAATTCTTCATGACCACAGGAGGAGATTGAGGAGAATCTCTCGTAAGCCGACGCTTAGCTGGTGGAGAATTCTCTTTGTTTCTGGACTTCCCGGAAGCTAACTTCATGGGTACACTTGGCTTGAACACCTTCCGCGCCTTCGAAATCTTCTTGGGAGCAGGTGGCTCATCATCTGAAGACGACTCGCCCTCTTCCTTCTCGTCACGCAGCTTCTTGAGGCGCCCTTCAATTTTGCCTTGCATACGATGCCGTTTGAATGAAGTGCCACCCATCGACCAGTGAGCATTAGCAGCCCAGCGAAGGAGAGAGTCGTTGATTCCTGGTGGAGGATCCACTCTTGTGTCGCTGTGCTTCACATCCTCGTGAATTCGAGGCCTCGGCAAAGCACTGCCGTAGAACCGAATGGGCTTCAGGGGAAGCATTTTCAGATGCACTAAAAGTAACGTCCAAAAAGTGCTGAATGTTGAGAATATCGAAGCTCGAGTGTGGGAATTGACCTCGGCGAGAAATGTTTTCACGATAAACAGGCTGAGTGAAGACTGGGGTACTCAGAGGACGGACTCCGTTGGGGACGAACACAAAATATCGGACGTGTGTCCAGAAACAAAGCGGAAATCAGAGAGCAGCGGAGGACAATTGACTGTTCGAATGTGAGAACTTACTCGACAGCAGAAGAAAACCGACTCGATCTAGAGAAAATCGGACAGCCTTGAATGTGTCAAGGTTCAGTACCTGAGTATCTAGAAGAAAGCAGTCGAGAACAGGGAGGACTGCTGGAGGAAGAAAACAAGAAATGCGCCGCGCGAGAAGGATTCTCGGTGCCTACGAAGAGCCTCAAATAAGAGGCTGAGGTGGAGGGAGAGTAGCAACAGTGCAGAGGAATTGGCGCGCCAAGATGTTCAGGGCGGGAGAGGTCGGTGAGAGAGGCCGTGGACGATATGACGAAAGAGCGGGAGGAGGGTAAGAAATGGGCGGCAGCTCGATGCAATTCCCGCGTCTTTGTTCGTCTCCCTCCATGACCTCTGTGACTTGGTTGTCAACATGACAACATGCTTCGCGGGATTGAATTCAAATTCTTCAGACCCGGCCGACTTGAAAAGGCGGGACGAAGTTAGATACCTCCGAAGCACTTCGTTCCGACCTGCTCCGCAAAATCAAACCTCATCACCTCAATATAAATCCTCCAAAAGATGGATATAGTATGCGTGGTCCTGAAAATACAATGTACCTGAATGGACTACAACAATGACGTGGACATCTATCATAATCGTCTATTATGCTGTACACATTACTTCTCTAATGGTGGATTTGCAAATAGAAAGCCACAAAAAGTACAACCATGATAATACTTTACAAGTTTGTTACCATATAATAAATTGCTAATTTTGTTTGTGCAATTGTGGCATTTATAATCTTTCATTTTTTTTCCGTTCGAATATGTCACATTTCGCACAATTCAACCCAAATTTAGCTGGGGTACCCATCAACATTGAATTACACAATTAATTAATAGAACTTCTGAATTTTGGTGATACCCATTGCACTATTACTACTTCGTTATTTGTGATTCTATTTAGACATTTCATAGAAGGGCCAAACTAGGGCCACACATGTTTACGCTACAGCCACACCCGCCCGCTAATTACCATGCCCATGCCCGCTTTTGCTACTACCCAAGCGCACTGCTACTGCCCAAGCCCCAGCAACGCGGGAGACAGCGACTGCCGCATCAGCCTCGCGCCCCTCGACCACGCTCTCCTCTGCCTCGCGGACGAGCTGGGTTTGAGGGGAGTCGTGTTTTGACGCACAATCAGTTGTTTGTATGTAGCGGGTGTGGCTGTAGCAAAAACGGGTGTTGCCCTAGTCTGCCCCTTCATAGAAAGTAACTATAATTACTATCTACATTGATCATTTCCTTTGCTAGAATATAGTCTTTTGATGTCGGATTTAACTTCTAGATTAACTCATGCACTCTCCTTATAAGTGCTTACTGTTTTATCCTACCTAATTCATGTAAAAAAAACTATCACTTACTAGCAATCCACATCCATGACCTTGTGTACAATTGAACCATTTACTTCTATGCTATAACTACAATATACATTACGAAGAAAACTATGAGGGTCGGCTAGTTATCCCTCACTTGGGGCTAATTAACCCTCACCTTACTATACGAACGTCACTCATTGGTTCACTCTGGTTATAGGGTCTATGTGGTGGAAAAAAATGGTTGGTCTATTACAAACTACCCTCAGACTTGCCGTTGTATTAGTTTAGGTAAGTGAGGTGGCTGAGGGCCCTTCAAAGATCATATATTTATGGGCAGACCAAAATTGCAGCGGCTTTTATCAGCTATCCGTTCACTCTGCAACATTCATACCACTGAATACTGCAATCCAAGCTTGTAAAATTATCCCAAGTAGCTTCTTTCTTGCGAGTGATAACTTTTTTAGACTTTGTGTTGCTTTCGATCAAGCTATTGGTTCAATCGATCAAGATGATGGTTTCATAAAGTTGCCTGGCTTATACTTGAGTATCAACTATTCTTTGAGTCTCAGGTTGGTCATACTTTGGAGTTGTCCTTGATGCCTAATGCACTCGCCACTCAACCCGCTTTACAGGAGCATGGCAATGTAGATCCTGTGAAACTATCAAATGCTAGGCACAAATATGCTATAGTTTTGGGTAAAGAAACATTCCATCAAGAAGATTTGAAACTCGCAAAGGCTTTTTTTCACTAATATATATTAAATATTTTAACATTACAAATAAATATCTAGATATATCTAAATAAATAAATCTATATAATGTCTGCAACTATCACAACTCCAACATGATGATCTCCATCACTGAGCCATCTTGAATAAAATCACAAAATCAAATAAAATGGTATATATTGGATATTTTTAGGTTAAAAATAAATATCTAAATATATTTGAAGAAAGAAAGAATAAATGAATGAAAAAATATATATAAATGAATGATTATGGTTTTGGATTTTCTATTTTAATTTTTTTTTTTAAGACTAACGAATATAAAAATAACAATTTATGTTTTCATGTCATACGGGAACAACACGTGGCGTTCGCGCCGTATTAAAACCATAAGGGAAGCGACAGAGTGATTTTGATGCATATATATGTATGGCACGGTCTTTCAGGTACTGTACACACACCATGTATTGTGGACTGTTTCGACCTCTAAGGAGGCAAATGCGTGAGTGCATGTTGTGGGTTGAGGTGGGATCACGCTCGGGTTGACACATTGTCACCCCTATCACTACAAAAAAATATGCAAAATAGAAAATGGAAGTATAAACACTTGTAGATACATATAGGTGGATGGGACGATCCCACCCCCACACTTTTGTGATTTTTTTGTGAATGATCGAAATCATATGAACCTTACGTGTGCTGGGGAGTTTCGACCTCTCACGACGAATGAAGCTAGGGTCATTTCCAAGAATGGGTATCCGATTCACGATATGGAGAATATCACATGTTTCAACATATTCAATGTTTCAAACAATCGAATGTCTACAACAATCACGACTACCCTTCACGATATGAAGAATATCACATGTTTCAACATATTTAATGTCTCGAACAATCGAATGTATTCAACAATCACGACTTCAACATGATGATCTCCATCACTGAGTCATCTTGAATAAAATTACAAAATCAAATAAAATGATATATATTGGATATTTGTAGGTTAAAAATAAATATCTAAATATATCTGAATAAATAAATAAATAAATATATTTCATTATATTTTATTGAATTTTCTATTTTAATTTGAATTTTTTTGAAAAGCCAAAAAAATATAAAAATAAGAATTGATGTTTAAAAATAAATATCTAAATATATCTGCTGTATTTAGCCATAATATCAATTGTCAATCAAACATCACAAAAATACATGGTTTGCTTCTTGCTACTCCACAATAACACAAGAATTTTACTTTAAAAAACTCCAAGACAATGTTTAGGAGTAAGTTGGATCTCCTTGAATTTAGTGGTCACAATTGTATACTAAAGCAGGAAATTTCAAAAACTGAGCCGACAACAACAAGAGTTGACACTAATAATTTTTTTCGTATTTTTTAATTAAATAAAAATTATTTTTCTACAAGATTTAAATGGAATTTTTTATCTTCATCAATACTTAATTTTTTTTCAAAAAAAAAACTCTTAAAAGCCTTGAAATTTTGATAAATTAAGTAATTGTTATCAATGTTTTCAAAAATTTTGACAAATTTTTTTTAAGAAGTTTTAGTTTTAGCAAGAATAAGCTTTAAATCAAAACTTATTGTCATATTATTTCAGTATTTACATAAAAATCTTCAAAATAATGTGTTTAAAAAATTAATTTTATTACATGTTAATTTAAAGTGTTAAGTTCTATTTTAACATGTAAATTGCCATATATCTAAATAGGTTTTTTCTATCTAGGTCAAGGTTTCAAATAAATATTTCATAAACACATTATATACTAAATTTATTCTTGTTTTCATGTTGTTTTCATCAACATCTTTGCAATTTTATCAAAATTCTTATGATTGTAACTATATTTATCTTCATCATTTCAAAATATTATTAATCATTTTCACATCTTTGCAAATATAGTTATCAACTTCAATTATGCAGCTTTATTTATTGCTTACATCATTGCAACTATAAAAATTCTATCATCATTCCAACCTTATGTCCACCACTACTTTTGTAATTATATTTATATCTATCATCATCGTGACTATTATGGATGATATCTCTACTAATGAAGAGAAATGATCTATCCAAGATTGCCTCATACTAATCTTTGCCATATAGATCTATTTACTTGCTCGCAAAAAGCAAAACCTCAGATCTTAAATCTTGTGTATAGTGACTGGCCCCACAAATTACTCTTTGCTAGATAAAGTATAGAAAGTAGATTCAAAGTTGTTTTTCTGTTGCTTGAAGTTCTTCACTTTGATCCCGATCGTTTATTATATCCACTATTCAGTCATTCACACAATGAGTTATCTATTGATCTGCAAAAGTCAAAGCTTTTCAGCGAAAGACATGAATTTTCTCTTATATTCGTATCACAACAGTATAGCATTATTAGGTAACTTGAATTGGAAAAAACTTAGATAGGTTATTCATCTTCCTAAGACATTTTTTCAAGATTTTTCTTAAATGTAGATTCAGAACATAAAGAATTCAAAATTCAATTTCATCTTTAGAGATTTTATCATAGATATTGATATAGTCTTCAACATTCCAATTAACGTTGGATTGTTGTCTAGAATAATCATAAGAGTGAGTATAGTCTTCATTGGAATAAAGCTAGTAAGTTAGGAGTGATCACGAATTTTCCATGATAGTGATAAATAGTCTCAGGAGCACCAGTCTAATTAGCATAAAAGATTTAAAACAATAAGATATTGTTAGATTGCATATAGTCTTCATTAGACTTAAACCACTTTGTTTTGTTAGGAGGTCCACAATTTTATCACGAGAGTGATAGATAGTGTCGGAGCAAATTTAAAACATTTATACTTGAATACTGTACTAAAACATATTTTTACTTCGAAAATTGATTGACGAAATCTATCGTTCCATACCACCCAATTCACAATAAATATTCTATTGTGAAAAGTTACCTAGCAACCTATTTATCTTAGTTACTACTTAATGCGCATATAACTCGTCTATATTTGGGGTGGAGATTTCAATTACTCAAAATTTATCTTTTATATATCTTCAGTCACGAATCTATTTGCACGTGATGCAAATTTTACATCTTCAAATGCTCTTTTAGGGTCAGCTAACTTCTCTCTCATTGGATGGATACACTGTGCATAACATATGTTCGAAGGTCTACCGTAATTACTTGATTCTCACACATGCAGGCCATTATGAATGCAAGGGTTTGGATAGTAGAGATCCATCATAAACATGATCAGATTTATCTCTTCAACACTT